ACACACACACACACACACACACACACACACACACACACACACACACAGCATTCTTATTGCTCTGCATCCCTTTAATGGCCTCAGGCTTGTAAGAGGAAAGGAAGCTTATGAGGCCACACTTTTCTTTAGTTCCACGAAAGCTGTAACATATCATTCTCTCCCACAGATCCTTACTCAGGGCTGCCCTGTGCCCGTTAGGACCTCGCCCAGCATTTGTTCTCGTGACAGTTGGGAGCACTGCTGTGAATGGCTGAACCACTCCTACAGATTTCTGTACACTGGTCTAGCTCTCAATTTTCAGCCATGCTTTCTTTGACAGCTACTTTCCCCTACCCTTTCCCAAGAGGGTGTCTCCTTTCTCTCCACTTTCATAGTCCTTTATCCACTTTCCATCACACACACACACACACACACACACACACACACACACACACACAGCAAGATGAAGGTGACGGTCTCCCAGGTTCTCCTGACATCAGCAGTTCTGGGCCCGGTCAAAGCTTTTAACCACTTCACTAATGAAGTGGTTAAATGACCTTTTGAATTCTGTTGTTCCCCAGGTCAAACAAACCTAGGGCTAAGGGTGTTCCTTCCTATGAAACCAACACTCTCGCCCTCTCATCCCGACACACAAGTTGTTTTAATGGTCTCGGATGAATTTAGACATGTAAATTTGGGTAGGCCTGGAAGCAGACAGGCCTGTGGGCAAGAGCGTGAGTTAAAACGGGAAGTGTTTCTTAGCAATGGCTGGCTCTGTCTGGAGCAGCCAGCTGCCCGCCGTAGGCAGGTGCCAGATCCTGAGTCCGGGCACTGCCAGACTCTGAAATCCTCGCACCTTCTGCTGTTCTTTGCGCATCTCCTGATCTGTGGCTCTCAGTTTCTGCAACAGCTCCGTGATGTTCAGCTCCAGTTGTGTGTTCTGCTTATGGAAACGCTCCAGCTCGGCTTCCATCTGTAGAGAACCAGGGGATAGAGGCCTGGACAAGGAAGTCAGGAATGGAAACTTCGTTCCAGAGCAGACACCTTTCACGGGGCACATTCCCGACACCATGGTATCTCTTTTCTAGCTCCCAGCTATGTCCTCTTGAATGAGACCTCTGTCCTTACTTCTTGCCGTCCTGAAAGCACCTCTCTTGACTGGCACCACATCCACCTGGAGTCCTGCACCTGCCTGTGGCCAGGCCTCGAAGTTTTCTTAGTTAACCGTGCAGAGTTCTCTTTTCTTGCGTTCTTTCTAATTCCGTCACTCTAAATCCTAAATTCCCAACTCACAGATCAAGACAGTCTTTTCAGAGAAATACCTCCCTCACCTGGTTTGGGAGGTAATATGAGTGGAACTTGACCCATGGGGGCCACAATCATTCTAAACAGAAAGTTGAGGCTTGTTTCTAAAGCATAGGGTTTTGGGGGGCAGAGCGACATGTGGGCATCTTCAGTCCAGGGCATAAAACAAGGAGGAGCTGAGGACGGCCAGTCTGAGCATTAAAGGGTCCAAAAGTACAACCAAGGGCCGCCCCCTCTTCAGAAAGTGGGCAGGAGACACCAGTTAGCATCTGAAAGGCTTTCTCTCCCTTGTTGAATCTGTCTACAAGGTGCATCTGGTTCAGATGAGACTAGCTGTGAAGAAATCCAGTTCCCACTCAAAGCACAGGGTGATGCTTGATGGATACCCCAACTCTGATGTGCATTAGTACTCCTGGCACTGGTGAGGTACTCCTGGCACTGGTGAGGTACTCCTGGCACTGGTGAGGTACTCCTGGCACTGGTGAGGTACTCCTGGTACTAGTGTGGTGCTCCTGGTACTAGTACTCCTGGCAGTACAGAGGCTCCTGGCTGTTTATAGGGGATGGGGCAGTTCACTGTTTGGTGTGTAGGGTGGTAGTGGGATGACCTGCCCCACCCCGTTCTAGCGGCACAAGTTAAGGTTCCTGCCCACCTTCAGAAGTCTGAGAAGGTTTAAAGTAGCCACTCTCAAGTTCTGGACACAGAGGAATCATGCCTCTTTGTTAGAGGTGTTTCACTAGATAGACTAGCCCTCTGAGGCCATGCCTGGCATCTGGGTGGACCCTGTGAATCCTGGATGAAGGATGTGGTGGGCAAAGGGAAGGGCAACGAGGGGCGGGAGGGGAAGTGGGAACCACCAGCCTCCGGAAGAGGCGTGGCAGGATAAAAGGCAGTGTTGGCAGAGCGGCAGAGAGCCTCCTAGAGAACACACAAGAACAGGGCTTTGCAGCAGCTAAAGCAAGAATGAGCACCATCGGGGCTGAGGAGATAGAGACCTTGCAGATAGAGGTCTGGCAGAGGGCCTGGGTTCGGCTCCCAGCACCCATGTGGTGGCTCACAACTGTTTGTAACTCCAGTTCTAAGGGGCCTGATGCTCCTTCCTGGCCTCCGTGGGAGCCAGGCACACACGTGGCACATGTGTATGTAAGCAAGCAAAACACTCTTACACAAAACATATACAACTGAATAAATATATATATATTTAAAAAGCAGTGAGCACTGCGGGAGGCTTAGGGACACAGAACTGATGTAGAGGTGCTTTCTGCGTCCCAGAAACCTCCAGTCTAACAGAACGAGAGCAATGAGTGGGAAGTTGCTATGAAATGGATTACATGACATCCATGGTTGAGGCAGGAGGGCCCCGTGCACACGAGGGCTGGAGCGTGTGCCTACCCTGGGAAGGGGCACTTCGGCTGAATGCTCTAGGGCGAGTACTGGAGGGCAGAGTAGTGGAGAGAACGGCAGGAGGAGAGCAGCCTGCCTGCAGTGGGCCTGTGGGTGGGTAGCCCAGCGCATGTCTTCCGGCTGGCGCTGGTCTGGATGACTGCAAGATGGCACAGCGCTGGAGGCAGGCTGCGGGGTTCACCGAACTCAGTGCCACCGAAGAACACCACCAGGAGCAGCAGCAGTGACTGGCATCTGGGGCGCGGGGGGTGTCTAGCACAGAGGTTCTATCAGGAGAGAGAAATCTAGAGCCTGGGAGAGTTCCTAGGCTGCTGCGCTGGACCCCAGGGAAGAAAGAAGAGCCCTAAGACAGGGAAATGTCAGTTAGGCCAGAGAAAGGGCGCCCCAAGGTCATGTCTGAGTGCGGCCGATGTCTTATCAGTCCCGAGCCAGCGGTGACAGACTGGGTTAGGATGGAAGTGGCCCAGGACTATACTCTTTGCCCCTGTCCCCTCCACCGCAGGCACAGCTTCACATTACTTCAAGGACATAAATACAAACTGTAAAGCATTTAGAGTGTGAGCGACTAGCTGGAAAGGCAGAAGGTGGGACCAAACATCTCTCTCCCAGCATGGGCATTCTGTCAAGTCCTCCATGTTATTTGTCCTGCTAATCCTCGGTGGGAGAGGGGAAGAAGCATTCTCCCCACCCCCAGTGGACATCTGGCAGTGTCTGAAGATGTTTTGGATCATAATAACCGAGGCCAGGAGGCGGGTGCTTCTGGCATGGAGTGACAGAGGACAATGGTGCTAAAGTCCGGGACACATCATGGGACAGGGCCTCCTTCCTCCCCACAGCGGAGAATCAGCCACCCCAGAACACAGAGAGTGCTGAGAAACCCTACACTAGGTGAACAAATAAATGAGTTGAAACTGAGACCACAAGAACCCTGGCAGAGAGCCTTTTCCCTCCGTGAAGAGGCTGGAGAAGCGTGCGTGAAGCAGAGTATCTCTCTCACGGGTGGCTATGTGTTCATTCACAGAGACCTCTCTCCACAAGCCTAGGGCTTGGGCCTTCCTTCCTGTAGGAGGAAGTTCACCAGAGATCCACACTGGGTATTTCTGAACGTATCGATAACCTCCAAAGGTGAGGCCCACGGTCAGAGGTTCCCGCAAAGAACCAGGTCCAGGTAACAGCCCTGAGCCACTGGCAGAAGGAGGGGGCAGAGGTCGTGTGTGGAAGGGTTAGCTAGGAAGGTCCCTGCCCTATTCCCCCAAACAAGGCTATTCTCTGCTCAGATCAAGGTGGCACTCAGCCTCCCGTTACTGCCAGGGGCACTGAATGATCCCATGGGTGTGTTCATAGGAAGGTCTTAGGGCAGAGTCCTCATGGATGTCTGTATAAAAGAGGCCCGAAGGAGCCCACCACAACCCCCCGCCCTCCCACAGTCTGAGGACACACAAGAGCCACAGCAAGGTAGCCTCTCCCTGACACGAGATCCTGTCCTGGACTTCCAGCTTCCAGGATAGTGGGAAAAGCCTGCTGTCTGCGAGTTCTGGCTGAAATACTTTGCTACTGAAAGGTCAAAGAAAGTTGCTATTCCTTGGCCCTGAAGTGTATGGCAGGAGGTCCCAAGAAGGCAGCTCTGTGGTCAGCTGGGGGGGGGGGGGGCGGGACACACTCAGGAGAAGTCAGCACCATCCCCTCGAGATCCCATCGTTGTGCTGATCTCTGCTTGATCTCCTGGAGCAAAGGTTTTGCTAGCACGTCAGCACACCATAAGGGAGAGTGGGGTCTTCCTTTGTATGTGATGTCATGGAAGGTGTTTTCGAAGAGGTGGCATCTAAGCTGCGGCTGGGAAGATGAAAAGCTGGCTACGTGACAGTCTAGGGGACAGTCTTCCAGGCAGAGGGGAGCCTACCACAGAGACCCTAAAATGGGCGAGTTGGCTTATAGGAGCTGTTAGGAAGTGGGTACTGGGGCAGGAGAGGTAGGCATGAGATAGGTGGAGAGAGGAGAGAGGTGAAGAGCCTTTAGACTTCACGCTAGTGGGATGGGACACCACTGAGGAGTCCGCTCTATGTGGAGGCCAGGCTGCAGCCTGAGTCAAATCCAGGTAAGAAATGGTGGAGGGGGCTGGCGAGACGGCTCAGCAGGCCAAGGGGCTTGCTCAGTCCCAGAGCTTGAGGTCCATCTCTGGAACACATATGGTGGACAGAGAGAACTGGCTCTTGGGGTGCTGTGGCCAGTGCACCCCACCCCCTGAGAAAAAGAGATGGAAATCAGGCGTCTTCCTTCCTGTCTTTCTTTTTAAAGAAGCAAAGGTGGAGCCTTGAACCAGAGCAACCGCAGCAGGGAAGAAATACTGGGTTTGAACTCTGACTGGATGGATGTTGGTGATGCTTTCCAGCATGGGAGTTAAGACAAGGGTAGAATAGGAAAGACTTTTAAATTTCCATTTGACCGAGAAACAAATGCTGGAGGGGAAGGAAAAAAAATCAAGAGTGGTTGGGTGTGGTGGCGCGTGCTTGTAATCACAGCACTCATGGAGGCAGAAGCAGGCCAGTCTCTGTGAGTTCGAGGCCAGCCTGACCTGCAAAGCAAGTCTAGGACAGCCAAGGCTACACAGAGAAACCCTGTCTCAAAACAACAACAACAACAACAAAAACCACTCCCCCATCCAACCCAACCCAATCAAACAAACAAAATCAAACAAACAAAATAAAACAAACAAACAAAAGTCAGCGTGGCAGAAAATATCAACAATTCAATTTTAGGTCATCATGGCCCCCAAATCTTAGCTGTTCTGTACCCAGTGGGAGGCTGACAGGTTAACCGCATGTAAGAAAATGCTCAGGAGCTCGTGGCTGAAAGGCTTACATTTGGACTCTCGAAATCCTTGTCCAGATGGCCTGACTTCTAATCTCTCCTCTTCACCTCTGTCCTGTTTGTTCTCCAGAACAGACTCTTAATTGTTCCACTCTTGGGCTGAAGAGCTGCTGAAGACTCCTGATTCCCAGTCAGAAGTCCAAATACTGGGCCCCAGCAATATCCGGTTTGAGAATCAGTACTTGACGCTTGGCGTCAAGAGTGCCTTTTGGCTGAGTATATACTGCCCCCTGGTGGCCAAATGCTCAACAGCGGCACTTCCTGTTTGCTACTGCTCTTAAAACTACCCCCCCTCCCCCACCAGCCCTAGCACAAGCTAAATCCTCATCCCACTTGCTTTTTAGGAGCATGAAACTGCACACGCTGCCTTGGCCGTGAGAAGTGTTTTCTCTCATTTCCCCCAAGCCAGTGAGTGACAGGATCGGAGGGGACAGAGGTTGGGAAGGGCAGGCCGTGTGAGGGAAGGCCCTCACCTCCTGGATCTGCTCCTTCATCACTTTGATCTCATCCTCCCGAGGTTCTATTTGCTTCTTCAGCTCCTTTATTTTGTAATCGAGGACAAACTTGAATTTCTCTAGTTCTTGGTTCTTCTTCTTCAGGTCATAAATTCGCTTCTCCTGGAAGTGAGATGAGAGAGAAAGAGGAGTGATTGATGTCACAAGGCCCTGGCACATGGAATCCCTCAAACAAACAAACAAACAAACAAACAAACAAAAACCCAGAGCCTGTGACACTGCAGATGGAGGCCGCCACAGACTTCTGGCTGGGGATACAGATTTTGGCACAGGCCGCAGCAGGGACTCCACAGGAACTCCCTCACTTTTGTGTAGGCTGTGAAAGACGGTGTCTTTCATCCCACACTGTGGTTCTACCGCATTATGGCCTTGTCACATCTCTGTCACCAAGCAGAATCAGTTCTCCCCTCCTGTATCTCACTGGATTTACGACTCGCCCGTAACCCACGGTGCAGCGGAGCGAATGCTGTGCGGCTGCCCAGGCTCAGGTCAGACAGACAGGCAGCTCCCCTCTGGCTCTCCTGGGACACTCGCTGTGGTGGGGGTTAGCTGCTGTGTAAGCGGTCTACACATGCTGAGCCCTCTCGGATGGAGAGCACACTCGGGGCTCTGTGGCTGAAATGCTCAGCCTCCTTGCCGTCCCTGCTAGGGGAATGGAGCTGGGTGTGTGGAAGGCACAGAAGGCACAGCCACCGTGTGTGTTCATCTTCTAGCCGCTAGCTTTTGGACCCCCCCCCCCCCAGAGATCCCAGTCTTCCCAGCTGAGTTTCCAGACATGGAGGTCAGAGACCAGCCTTCCTTTTGGACCTTGTCCAGTGGAGGCTGAGAGGATAACAACACAGCTGTTTGGACCACCGAGTTTTCAGGTGATCTGCAGTAACTGGAGCGAGGGTCTAGCAAACAAGCCTGGGCCGGATACTATTTTCCTGTTACAGCTCTGAGAACTGACACAGTCCCTGTCCTTCAGACAACCCCAAATTGTGCTGTGTAATGCAAGGGAGGGAGACGAAGGCACCACAGTGGTTTGTATGCAGCAGCAGAGAGCAAACGGCTCTAGTGTGACACGCTGGTTCCAGGGGAAGTGAGATCTGAGGCTGGAGGAGGAGGGGCGGGGGACGGCAAGGCTTTGGCCTGTTGTTGGCTTTGAGAGTTCAGAAGTTAACCTGGAGGCCAGGAATTGGCAAGCTTAGCCCATGAGCCAAACTTGGCCTGAGGCCCCTTTTTGTCCATTTCGGTTGGAACATGGCCTGGCTCGTTTGTGCCTATTTTATTTCTGGGTGGTTTCACATGTGCTACCCAGAGTTGATTAGTTGAGACAGGAACCACATGGCCTAAGAATTATCTACCATCTAATCCTTTACGGACAAAGTGTGCTGACCTTGGCTGTGGGCCATGGGAAGCTACTGGAGAATATTCAGTGGGAGAATGACTGTGCTGGCTGGTTTTATATGTCAACTTGACACGAGCTAAAGTCATCTGAGAGGTGGGAGCCTCACCTAAGAAAATGCCTCTGTAAGGTCAGGCTGTGGGGCCATTTTCTTAATTAGTGATTGATGGGGGCGGGCCCAGCCCATTGAGGATGGGGCCACACCTGGGGTGGAGGTCCTGGGTTCTATAAGAAAGCAGGCTGAGCAAGCCATGGGGAGCAAGTCAGTAAGCAGCACCCCTCCATGGCCTCTGTATCACTTCCCATCTACGGGTTCCTGCCCTGGGTGAGTTTCTGTCCTCACTCCCTCGCTTTTGGTCATGGTGTTTCATCATAGCAATCGAACCCTAACTAAGACAGTGACCAGCTACACTTGCACTCTGACAGCTGTGCTGCTGGGGACCAGGGCTGGGGAGTGGAAAGGCTGCTGGACTAGGAGGGGGTTATGACTTTCTGTGTTTCTTTCCTTTCTTGTCAGTTCCCTCTTTGAGAATCTGAAGGTGCCCTCGCCCCGTCTCCAAAGCCCGGGCCATATACAAGATTTCCTCGTGTAGAAACAGCATGCAGGCACCAACTAGCTCACCAAGTCCTTACAGGTCCCCATTTCCTAGGAGAGAACAGGGCAGCTTTGAGACCCAAAGTCTGTCCCCTACAAACTGTGGGACCTTGGGCAGTAAACGCAGCTTCCTGGATTTCTGCTTCATGAGACACAACCCCAGATTGCTCATGCCACAGGGTTATTGGTGGAATTGTGTGTGATGTGTTTGCACTAATTGGCTCCATGCCAAACACACAGTGGGTACTTCATAGACTCTTCTTCCTCTGCCAAGTCAAGCAAATGATCTTTAAGAAGCCAGGGCCCTTTGAGCTCTGGGGCTCTGGGTCCCTCTGGGCAGTGTCTGGGGAGGGCAGACACTCACCTTGTCTTGAATGGTCTCATCCCTCTCCTGGATCTCTCTCTTGAGCCCTTGGATGTCTTTCTCCAGGGACTTGATGACCCCCTGCAGCTTCATCTGCTCTGCCTTCAGGAGCTCAATGTCATTGGTGCGCTCTTCGATTTCCTTTTGCAGGCTGCTGAACTGAAGATGGAGACAGCACCAGTGAAGACCCTTGGGGTCTTTGAGCGTGACCCCACCTCAACTGCTGATGGAGCGGGGCCTCCCCCAGGAAACTAAGAAGCCCCATCACTCAATATCCATGAGCTTTGGGGAGCGGATTTTGTTATTGCTGCTATTTTAATTTTGGGGAACAATCTTTGTAAACTGAGGAATAGGTCCCCCTCCCGTCATACTTGAAAAGTTCCCACATGTGTACAAAGTACTGTGGTCATATTCACCCCTCCATCACCCTCTCTTACTTCTGTTCCAGTCTGACACACACCATCCTCTTCCACAACTACGTTCCCCTTTCACTATAAGGAGACAAGCTCTTTTTATGTATCCAAACTCACACTCTGCCTGACTTACCTCCTAAATACTGGGATTACAGGCATGGACCATCGTGCCATGCTTAGTTTGTTTGCTTCAGAGACTGAGTTTTTGGAGAATTTGGGACAGTGCAGTGTTTTCCCTGGTCAAATGGATGGCAGAGTATCCAGCAGAATAATGTCTAGGTCTATTGAAGTTCTCAACCCTCCTAATGTATTGGCCTTTTAATACAGTTCCTCATGTTGTGGTGACCCCCCCACCCCATCATGAAATTATGTTGTTGCTACTTCTAAACTGTAATTTTGCTACTGTTATGAATCATAATGTAAACATCTGGCATGCAGGGTGTCTGGTATGTGACGCCTTTGGGGGTTGTGACCCACAGGTTGAGAACCAGATTATAGTCCCTGCAGGAGAGAGCACTCTGTGGACAAGATGCTTTAGAGACCAGCTCTTGGGATGGACTCAGGTTCTTCCAAGACCACACTGTCCTTGAGAGCTGGCCAACGTCATAGAGATGAGCTCTATCTGATGGACCACTGTAGCCATGTCCAAGGAGTGAGAACCTGGTTGTCCTGGGAATCACTAACAACAGGGGGATTTCTGACAGGATGCTCTGATTGCTAACAGGCCTGCTTTGGACTCAGCTTCTCTGCGGCTGACCATTTTAGAGGAAATGAGGCAATTCTGCGAGGATCTGTGAAGCGCATTGTCCCTCTCTCAGCATCACTGAACCAAGAAGCTGCCTCATCTTGCCATCAAAGCATCTTACACATCCCACCACTCTTCTGAGGAGAAGTCTGAGGGGGAGCCACCTGAGCCCAGACATTTCCAGGCTGAATTGCTGCCTGTCTTATCCTCAGATCTCATTTCCATTTTCAAGAGATCCTACTTGTACAGAAAGGAAGGCTCAGAGCCTCTTTCTGTGCACAGGAAGCTCATGAGGAGGAGGGAAAGAGTCAGGCACAGTGGCACACTCCTGTGATCCTAGCATCGGGGAGGGAGGGGCAGGAGGATCACGAGTTTGAGGACAGAATGGGTTCCGCAGTGAAATCTAAGCCAGTCTGGGACACGTGGTAAGATCCTGTCTCGTGCCGCCTCCCCAAAGAGGAGGGGAAGCCAGATGTGGTCCCTTCTGGAGGGGAGAGCCCCTTTGTCCTGGAGATGGGACTTCTGTGTGGCTGCCCAGGGCTCTCTGGCCACTTGCCCCTTACCCCCAGCCTCCTCTGTGATGCTTCCAGGGCCCAGCTGGCACCCCACCTTCTTCCTCATGATGCCCGTTTCTCCCTTGAGCCGAAGGTTGGACTCCTTTTCGTCCCGAAGCTTTCTCTCGTACTTGGTTTTGATGTCTTGGATCTCTCTGTCTTCATCTTCTTCAATCTGCTTCTTGGTTTCCTCAAATTCCCGAAGCTGCTGGCGGACATCTTCCTGTGCCTGGTTCGGAGGGAAGGAGGGAGGGAGGGGGGAGGGAGAGAGTGCTGGAAGATGGGGCTCTGAGGCTGCTGTGCTGGGAGAGGAAAGGAAGAGGAGCCAAACTACAGAAGTGGAAACCAAGGCCCCGTCCTGTCTCCTGTCCGTCCACTTCCTTCCTGTCTCCCTTCTCTTTTGACCTGATGGCCTTGGGGTCTACCACCTCTTCTTACCAACAACCCCATACCCTTGCATGCCCTCTTTAGTCTCTATTAGTCAAGTGATACTCAGGCTTCAGACCCTGCGAGGCGCCCTTCCTCTCCCCACATATCTGTGTAGCCTTGGCTGTCTTGAACTCTGTAGACCAGGCTGGCCTTCAACTCAAGAGATCCACATGCCTCTGCCTCCCAGGTGGTGGGATTAAAGGTGTGTGCCACCACCTGGCCCAGACACATCTTGAGAGAGCTTGAATCACTGCAATTCTATCTGTAAAATTAATTGGTTATTCCCCCCTCCCCCCAGATGACAATGCCTTGAGGGTAGAAACCTTGTCTCTTGACTCCCAGGGCACAGTGTCTGCTGTACACAGTAGCTACAGGGCAATGTGTGGCTCCAATTACACACACACACACACACACACACACACACATACACACACACACACACACACCCACCCACCAACCCAAGCTGCCCTTTCTCACAGACAGGGAGGCGGAACTTGGCTCCCTGGGGTCACCTCTTCTAGAAGGGTTGTTTTCTCCTGCAGTTTGGCCTCATAGAACTCCGTCAGCTCCTCCAGGGCCTGGCTCTTTGTCTCATCATTATCTCGGAGCTGTTTTTCGTACTCCTCCTGCATTCTCTGGGACTTGAGCTGCAGCTCCTGGTATTTCTCATATTCAAGGAGCAGCTTCTGGTTGTTGCAACATTCTGGGGAGGGGAAGGGTGGTCTGTGAGACTTGTGCGGGCAGGCAGCAGCAGCCTTTGGTGCATGTGAGGCCCTGCCCACCCCCGCACTTCCCTGTTCCTTCAGAGCCGAGGTTCAAGGCCCTTAAAGGTACTGGTGGGAGGTGTTCGAGGGTTCAGGGTCAGGAAAATGTCCCAAGTATGCCATACATATATATATGTATTATATATCCATCCTATAGACAATCGAGCTGAGCCTTGGTAAGGCTAGGTGATACCCTGGTGCACACAGCAAGGAAATGCTGAGACCTGGGACTCAGCACTCTGTCATGCTCTCAGCTGAATCTCTCACTGGCGTGTAAGAGGTGCTGTGTGTGTGTATTCTGAGGAAGGGGCAATATACAAGCGGGGAAATCATGGTGAATTCCAATAAAGTAGTGTATTCACAAACAGAGCCGAGTTCCCTGGCTTCTGCTACGTCTGGGGCTGGGGCGGGGTCCTTTTCAGATGGTTGTTCCCGGGCTCATGCCTGCCTTCACCAGCTGCCCCCAGCTGTGTGGCTCCCCACTTCCGGACTCACCCAGGTCCTGCAGCTCCCGGCTCTGTCTCTCCAGGAGCTCGTCCATGCGTTCCCGGTGAATGCTGTCTTGCTTTTCTTTCTCTGTTTTTAAAACCTGAAACACAGAGTTGCCCTCTCTCATCTCTACACATTTGCCGAAGGCGCTACAGGAGCTACTTTTACCGGGAACGTCTTTATTCAGACATTTTTCTCAAGCCCTCACTTTGCACCAGACACTGTTCTGGGGAGCCATGCAACAGGGCCACCTTTCACACTCTGAAAATTCTACACGTTTGCTCTTTATCCATATGTGGTAAAATAGATTCATCAGCGAAAGAAAAGTTTTGGTTTGGACACAGAGGAAGCAGACTTTGAGGAGGAAAGTCAGGGATTCATCTGAATCATCTATTGCTGATTGTCTGGGCGTGGTGATCACACCTTTAATCCCAGCACTAGGGAGGCAGAGGCAGGTGGATCTCTGTGAATTTGGGGCCAGTTTGGTCTATACAAGTTCCAGGCTAGGGCTACACAGAGAAATCCTATCTCAAAAATCAAACCCAAATCAAACCTAACCAACCAACCAACCAGCCAAAATTCAGAAAGCCCCAACTGTGTCTTGCTGGCACACTGCTGTCAGGTCATTATGCTCACATGTATCTATTTACCTGAGCCAGCCAGCTCCTGGCAGGCTAAGGTGCCACCCTGGGGCCTGGCTTTGTGTTTGGCTTATAAACAGCACCAAACTAACACTCCATGCCTGGCTGAATGAATTATAAATAAACGAATAAATACATTTAACAGCCAAGGGCTTTTCAACCAAACAGACCCATGAAGATAAGTTACCAGTACAAATACCCCTTGAGCCAAAAGATGGGGTTGGGGGCACAGTTTTGGATGAGTGGGCCAGGCGGGTTTTGTGTAGCGTGGAGACGACAAACTGTTAAGACAGATTTCATTTTTGACAGTCTAGAGATCAACACCTGCTACTTCCCTCCTCCAGCGTTCTTGTTATTTCGTCTTCTAAAAATGAGTTTTTCCCAGTTACAAAGATAAATACTCACCGTAGAGAATCTGGAAATTGCAAAAATGTATTAGAAACAAAATGTAAGCTGTGTCCGTAACAGCAGCTTTGTGGGAGAATCTTGTCTTGTCCCCGGACCTGTTTGATCTGGCAGTACCATTCACTATGGAAAGCTTTATGTTCCGTGTCCTGCTTTGTCCTCCTTAGTCCCGAGTCACACACATCTTCCCCAGCAGCCGGCCCTTACGACTGAACAATGCAGATGCCCTTAGACCACACGGCTGGCCCCGTGCTCAGTGGCGTGGGGCTTGCTTACTGCTGAGGCTGCGGGTTCAAGCTCTCAAACTCACCTGGTTCTTGGTCTTTAAGGACTCCATCTCCTGGGTGAACTTGTCCGTCAGCTCCTTAATCTTCTCCGAGTAGTTCATGTCCTTCAGCCGAAGCTGATACTCATTCTCCATTTTCAGTTCTTCCACACGTGTTTTCAGCTCCAACATAACCTGAGCCTTTGGGAGAAGGATGCAGAGTGAGTACTCACGGCAGGCAGGGGGAGCCAGCACACTTAAACCTGGGCTCTATCTCACTTCAAATGCGGTAGGTCCCAGCTAGAATGTCACGTTTCCTGTCATACACATATGACAGGAAGACACACAAGAGTGTCTTCACTTTATGCTCTATTTTTAAAAGTATTTCTTCCATATTGGTACTTGGGAATTATTAAGGGATTTGCTGCTTATTATCTCTATTCTGTTGTCCTTTTCTGTTTTTTTAAGACAGGGTTTCTCTGTGTAGCCCTCGCTCTCCTGGACTCACTTTGTAGATCAGGCTGGCCTCAAACTCACAGCGATATGCCTGCCTCGGCCTCCCTGACTGCTAGGATTACAGGCGTGCACCACTGTGCCTGGCTCGCCTTTTTCTTTCCTTAGAATTTAAGCTCTGTACAGGTGGTGATGTCTTTGTTGGTTTCATTCTCCAACGTGGCCCAAGTATACAGCCAGAACACAGTAGGCACTCAAAAGGTAATCGCTTTCTCTGTGTTTGGTACTGGGAATCAAACCAAGGGCCTCCCACATCACGAGTTCTACATTGTCACACCCAGCCTCCAAAGACATTTGTCCCCATGAAATTCACAGCCTGCTGAGGCAGTAATTATAAATTGTGATTAAGTGTCCAATGACGTGGTCACTGTCCCCTCTCCTGTCTTTCACGCCTGTGCTTGTGTGAACACTAGCACTTAAGTCCCACTTCTGCTTGGTTCCAAAGTCTAGTGTTTGCTTCTTCCATCACTGTCCAAGTTTTCTGAAAGTCCTGTATATGCATAGCCCTCATCTCCTGAAGAGTGCTTTCTTCTTGCTCACCTTGATTACACCCCACAGACCCCCACCTCGTCTTTGAGGGTCTGTCTTCCCTACTTCCATGACAACAAGGAACATGTTCCGTTTGTTCCTGTATTCCCGACTGGCACCTGATATATAGACTTAACACTTGGGAGGCTCTGAGAGCGTGCCTGCTCGGGGTCCTCAGTGGTTTGGTGCCGATGGCAGAGAGAGGGAAAGGGAGGGGGGAGGAGGAGTGTGAGCTCAGAGACCACTGGAGTGTTCTAAGTCATGTATGAAGTTGGGATCCCTCCAAAGAACCTCATCGAAACCTCCGTAGGCTGGCTTTGGATGGACAAGGACTTTCTGATGACAGTGTGCAGCGCAGGATTAGAGGTGAGGTCATGAACTGGGAGGTGACTACAGATTTCGGCTGAGAGGTGGCAGGGGCTTGAGCTGAGTGGGGGAGGGAAGGCTGGTGGAATGGAAAGAATATATAAGAATATGTGGAAGAATAGAAGAGATTCTAGAAAGTGTGCTGTCTGCTTCGCTCTGTGGTGATGGGAGGGAGCCATGCTGGAAGACTCCCCGGGTGACTGCTGTACCTGGCTTGGAGTTGGCCTATCTGGCTTCGCTGTCCTGACTCCAGAGCCTCTTCGCACAGATGCAACAGCCCTTTCAATGCTGGTAAGTGGTCAGATGTGAGTAAGTGGCCCCAAGGCCTGGGTTGGACCAGTGAGATACTTACTGTTGCAAATGGTCCAGCTTTTGATGTGGGACCTTGAAGGTGTTTGCTCATGGGCCTTCTGTCGTCGTCGCCATGTTGCTGCAGAGTACCTCTCCAAGGCAGGGATCTTGCCACGTACTTCCTAACTTAATGTCTATCTGTGCTCCTTCCTAACTGTTGCCAGTCTAAGACAAGTAAAAGGCCCCCCCGTGGCCTCTCTGATTCTCCCTAGCTTTCTTCTCTGCAACACAGTCCACTCACAGCTGCTAGGCACATCTTCCTAGAGGATCATCTCTTTACCTCTCCACATGCTGCTGTCTCGATATGGATGGTCCTTTGTTCTGGTGGTACTATGCAGGGCTTGCCTCTTCTGATTCAACCTGGCCTGGGATGGGGTCCTTCCTCTGTGCTCTCGTGGCAGTGTTCTTTTATAACACACCTGCAGCCTGCTTCCCTATTTTGTTTTCCCTGGCTTTCCTCCCAGGCTCCAGGCTGAGGGACCCTCTGTGTCTTTTCTCTCTGTAGCACCAGCGTCCATGGCCTGCCAGGCACACAGCTGGCTCTTCTGTTGCTGGCAGGTGAAAATGTATATCCAAATGACTGAGTGAGCAACTCCCTCACAGGATAGAAAGACAGGGAGATGGAACTGGGGAGGATGTGGAATGTCATGTAAGGGGCATAGAGAGAAGAGGTAGAGAGGCAGCTGGAGAGAGGTTCGCAGAGAACCATCCTGATGGATGTGGGAGAGGAGGGAGGCTCAAGGAGTGGGCTACACATACACACTGGATGTTTCTACTGTGGTGGCGGCAGCAGTGCTGCCAGGCATGGCCAGAGTCAGGGGTCAGGGGTCAACCCAGACACTGTCAGACCTTGACCTTGTCCTTGCATGTCCTATTTGGCTTCTCTACCCCCCCCCCGGAAGAAACGAGAAGAAAACAGAGAGGAAAGAGCAGATAGGTTTGCCACAGGGAGGCTAGGTTCTCTTTCCTTCTTCCTCCTCCTTTGCCTTTCAGAGAGAAAGTTCTGGGGCTCTCTGGAAGGGCTCCAGAGCCCCCCTCCATCCTGCTGTGCCTTTGCATTGCTGTTCTAGCAGTTTTGTTGTCTCTCTTCTCGCCTGACCGTGAGAGCTTCGTGACCATAAAGCGTGCCCGCGTGTGACTCTTCCAAATACGCATGCCCAGAGCCTAGCCAACCATGGGAAGTGTCCTGTTACTCAGATTCTTTTCCTGAGTGGCAGTGACTGTGTAGCTCTGGGATTATCTGAGAGCCAGACTTTCAGCTCCCAATCATGAGCTGTGCCGAGGGCTATGCACTCAGATTTCAGCAAAACATTTTTACTGTGTTGAACTTACTGTGTGAACGAGAGGTTCTCTTGGAATAGAGAGTGAGAGCCATCCTCTAGATTCAATCTGAAATCAAATTCTGGTTCATTACTTACCAGCTTGGTGGGTTGGGATACAGTACTAAACCTCTTCGCAAGAGGTTGATCAATAACTCTTGAACCTTGGGGAGAACAACAGTGTCTTTTCCATAGAGGTATCTAGAGGTTTCAGATTACATTCAGGTTACGTTGCCAGAACTGTGCCTGCTCCACGGCAAATGAATGCTTCTTTCCTTTCCTTTCCTTTCCTTTCCTTTCCTTTCCTTTCCTTTCCTTTCCTTTCCTTTCCTTTCCTTTCCTTTCCTTTCCTTTCCTTTCCTCCTTCCTTCCCTCCCTCCCTCCCTCCCTCCCTCCCTCCCTCCCTCCCTCCCTCCTTCCTTCCTTCCTTCCTTCCTTCCTTCCTTCCTTCCTTCCTTCCTTCCTTCCTTCCTTCCTCTCTTTCTCTCTTCTGAGATAAAGTCTTAATATGTAGCCCATACTGACCTCAAACTCATCTTCTTCCTGTCTTAGCCACCTATGTGCTGGGATTATAGATGTGAGCATACACTTATACATGTGAGTGCTCATGTCCTGTATGTATGTGTGTGCGTGTGTGTGTGTGTGTGTGTGTGTGTGTGTGTGCACATGCGTGCGCAAGTGTAGAGTCCAGAGGTTGACACTGGGTGTCTCCATCAGTTGCTCTAGAGTTTGGTTTCTGAGATGAGGTCTCCTGTTGAACCTGGGGCTCCTCAGTTCAGTTAGGTTGTTTTGCCATGAGTTCCAGGGTCCTCTACTCTCTTCCACCCCTAGCACTGAGGTTCTATACAGAGGCCTTTGTGCCAAGCTAGGTTCCGCAGATCCAATCTCAGGTCTTCATGCCCGTCTGAGCCATCTCCCCCTGCCCTGGGCCACCTATCTTTAAGTGAAGGTTCACTGCACTGGAAATCATTGCGCTTCACAGACACAACCTGGGCATGTGGCTTGCCAGCTTGATCTTGTGAATGTGTCCTGGTTGTGTTTAAAGCCCCTCGCCACAGTTCCCCATCTCACACTGCAACAAGAGGAAAGTGGGATCACCGCACCAGAGCACGGGACAACCACTGGGTAGACAGGCAGGCAGTGTTGGGGTGGAGGCAGTCAAGGGGCAGCAAGCAGGACGCTGGCGTGAAGGGAGGTGTGAAGGGAGCTGTGTTAGTCTGTACCAGGCGTGGGTGTAGCCAAACCGCCAGAGGACCTCAGATGCTGGCCTGAGCCCTCCGAACGCAGACTAAGGAACTGTGTATTCCTTCTCACTGGAACCAGTTCTTACCTTCTCTTCCATGTCTGTCTTCGTCACGAGCACCTCTTCAGCAAAGCCCACCTCCCTCTCTCGTTTGATTCCCCGACCATCCTTATCGAAGACCTTCCAGGTGAACAGGCAGCCATCATCAGCAACAGTCAGTAGGAACTGATCATCAAAGGTGAGCATGACCTGTGGAGGAAAAGAGCATGGAGAAGGTGCATTCCGGGGCCCTGGAGGGCTGCCACCTAGTGGGGAGAGCTGGCTACCACACAGGCCTCTGCACACACAGGCCTCTGGGCACGCAGCCCTTGCACACTTCCCTGGGTCTGTGGGCTTGTGTGCTGTCTACTAGGAGCACCAGACAGAAGAAGCACCTTGCTCGAGTGTGATGGAGTCAGTGTAGTTCTCACTGTGCTAATGGGTAACCATGGATCTATCGTTGTGCCTATGTGATGCTTTTGTCTCTTCCTACTTGGAATTTGCCCCTTATCGGCTGAGATAGTCCCTAACTGAGTTCAGTGACAGAGTGGGCCATTACCCTGCCTCAGTGAACTTGATTTTGATGATCTTGTTTTCCTGGGCCTCGGGTTTCTGGAATTGCGGCTGCCCAGGTCTCTGAAGGCTGGTCTGGCTTCCTGACTTCCTGGAGACTGATTTACTTTTTTTTTTTTTTTTTTTTTTTAAACTCCCAATTTCCTGTGTTCGTCAACCTGGTAAGACTGAGGGCTAGCCACTCTCAGGCACAGCCACACAGCAAGGAAGGTCAGAGGTCAAGGGGAGCTATGTCAATGTTCATCTGGACTCAACAAGAGCAGCACGTGCTCCCCACCCCTGAAGACCATGCCTTCGGGAAACATTCACTCATAGAGAACAATCCTTAGGGCAGTGCTAAATGTTTAAAAAGCTGGCTGTGACAGAGTGACACTACAGTACAATTTTTATTTCAGACACATGTATAATATATATGTTAGCGTAAGTGACATTGCTACTATGAAGGTCTGACTTCTGTGAACACAGACTGCTTCTATAATAAAAAATGATCTTACCACAAAACTTAGTAGATCTGAATGGAAGACTACATTATGACACTTTATTTTCAACCCAATGCCCAGGCTTAAGACAGAAATGTGTCATTTTTAAGTGGGAAATCCTTTTCTAATGTGTACAGTACCTACAGGATGGAATGAGAATACCCCCCCCCCCACTTGGTCCCCAGTTGGTAGAACTGTTTGGGAAGGGCTGGGAGGTGTGGTCTTCTGGAGGAGGTGTGTCACTGGGAGCACGGTTTGAGGAAAGGCTCATGAGGTTACCAGTGTTTGCTCTCAGCCTTGTGGTCGTGGATCAAGGCGTGAACCTTAGCTGTTCTTTCACTCTGCCGTCATGGACTCTAGTCCTCTAAAACCATAAGCCACATTACACACTTTTGTTCAGAAGTTGCCTTGGCTATCGTGTTTTATCACAGCAATAGAAAAGTTTCTACGATAGTGAGCCAAAATTCAGGACATAATTAAAAATCTTTCATGTCATCCGATCTCAAATAAAGGAGACATACATTTTTTTCAGGGTTTGTTTTTTAGAAGTCTGCATAACGACCCCACCCCCATGGCTCTGATTTATGGGTATCCATTTTTCATGACAGAGAACTTTTTCATTCACTTTTTGTTATGGAAAAATACATACACTATAAAATTTACTACTGTAACCATGTTTTTTGGTATTCAGTTTACAACTGAGAAATTTGTGAAGCTGTGGAACCATCATCACCACCTACCCATCCTTTTTTGCCCTTCAAAACAAAAATTGCACAAAATGAACAATAATCCCCCTTCTTTGCCCCACCTCAGAGTAGCATAGAACAACTACCATTCTAGTTTCTATCACTTTCAACTTGTCTTAAGTATCTTCTTTTAGGTTCTTTTGGTCAGTTTGGGTGAGTTATAGCTGGACATAATCCCAATTCACTGTTCCACACACCCAAACCCCTTGACACCAGGCAATGGTGGGGGGTGGGAAAGATGCAAGAACCTCAGAAGCTGACAAAGCAATGGGGACCAGAACCAATGCCCTAGGAACAAATCCAAGTTGGAAAAAGCTTCACCCGGCAGCAGACACCCTGCAGATGCCAGATCACTGTCTAGCCTGGCTCTAGGTTGGGAAGCCAACAATCATGTGTCATAAACTCCACGGTCCAGAAAAACTGAAAAAGCTTTACAAGGGGCCAAAGAGTTCTGTCCCCACAGCGGGACTCTAACCTTTGAGCCTGTTTCACTACTGTTAAGCATCTGGTCATGGTGGAATGATGCTGCACTTGCCTGTTTGGGATTGGCTTGTTTTATGTCATACAGAGTTCTTAACACCCATCTCTGTTGCAGCCCAGAGCAAGGTTCCCTGCCCTTTCAAGACTGTTACTCCAGTGTGTGTGTGCTTATTAGTCTGTCTGCTGCTGGAGTCAGGCTGCTTTTTTTTTTTTTTTTCTTTTCTTCCATTATGACTTGAATTGTTTAGCTATTAGATATAGACAGTACTTCAGAAGATGGGGGAATAGAACTATTTATAAAAGCCTGCCCATGTTATTGTTCCCAGGGGCAGTCTTTATAGCCATGTTCTCAGGGAGAGGTTGGCTCTAGTATCTTGTGGTACGACTTCCCTTGGGTCTGAGAGTCATTAGCAGGGAAAACTCACTGCAGCTGGGAAATCCGAATGACTTAGCTGGGACACCTGCCACACCCATCCAAGGGTCCGTTATGAGGTATAATTTTGTGTCAAATGATCATTAGGTGTGACTCTGATTACTTCCTGGGATGAATTCCTAGTAGTGTCAGCATGAGTATGAATAGCCAACAGGTGCCTAAGGAGCATGTGATAGATGAGTAAATAAACAAAGAAAGGAGGAATGCGGATAACCCAGACACACTGAGAGGATGCTGGGGTGGGCAGGTTTGTAAGGCAGAGCCTAGGCTGGGACGCGGTGGTAAGGTACCTCTCACCTTGTTGATGGGACCAGCATGAGCCTGGTACTCATTGAATTCCTTCTGCCCAGGCAAGGGGTACCTCATGGTACGGATAGTTCCCACCGAAGTGCCCACAAACATCATGCGCCCGGAATGTGAGATGGCGATGGCTGTATAGACGACATCAATTGCTAATATCTCTCGAAGGATCTGGAACACAGGCAGGTCTGTTCAGTGGGAGGGCTGAGCTGTGTCTCCAGTGTCCCAGTGTCTTCTCTGGGGGCAGAATTCTATTCGACTTAGTTTTCTATTCCTTAGAGCATTTTGTACAGTGTCCAAGCACATGAAAGACCCAAACTAAATACATCTTGCTTCCTCCTTCTCCTCTTCCCTCTCTTCTCATTGCCATTGTGGTGCTGGGAATGAAACTCAGGCCTCATACATGCTAGGCAGGCTCTCCACCACTGAGCTACCTCCCCAGTTCAGAGATCCTAATTTTTGTTCCATTTTATTATTATTTTTTTGAGCAGGGTCTTACTATGTAGCCTTAGGTAGCCTGGGACTTATGAGGTAGACCAGGTTGGCCTCACAGAGACCCACCTATCTGTGCCTCCCAAGTGCTGGGATTAAAGGTATGTGCAATCATGCCCAACTGGAGTTCCCAGGTCTTACGTGGTATGTGTGTGTGTGTTTACACCAGGGTGAGTACACGGAGGCCAGCAGGGCACTGGGCATCAGTCTCTGTCTCATTCCTCTGAGATGGTCTTATCCTGGAGTTGCACAGGTAGCCAACAAGAGATCCTTTTCTTTCTGTTCTGCACCCACCTGGGGTCCCAGCACTGGGGTTACAGGTACACATGGCCACACCCAGGTGCTGGGATCTCAGTTCGAGTCTGCATGCTCACACAGCAAGTGCTCTGACCCACGGAGCTGTCTCTCTAGCTCTAGTTGTGGGTGTTAGGAACAATACAAATGGAATGGCTGGCAATATTCCTGTAGCACCATGTGTAAACACTGTGTGTGGTGTTTGTTCATGGTTGGATGAAAATGGCCCCCACAGGTTCCCAGGGAGTGGGCACTATTAGGAGGCGTGGCCTTGTTGGAGTAGGTGTGTGGTTTTGTTGGAGAAAGTGTGTGTCACTAGGGGGGTGGGCTTTGAGGTTTTAGAAGCTCAAGCCTGATGAGTGGCTCACAGTCTTTTCCTGCCGCCTGTGGATCCAGATGTAGAACTCCCAGATCCATCTCCAGCGTCCTGTCTGCCTGCCTGACACCATGCCTCCCACCATGAGGATAATGGACTAAACCCTGAGACTGTAAGGCAGCCCCAAATAAAAGTTTCCCTTTATGAGAGCTGCCTGGACGTGGTGTCTCTTCACAGCAATACAACCCTAAGACACTGTCTTACATCCTTTACCTGTTGCAACTTATCTGGTTATCCCCAACCTCCCTCCCCTCCCCCTCCCTCTCCCCCTCCCCCCCCAGCCTCTGGAAGTTACAGTTACATTTAAATGACAATAGCAGATGAATCACTGAGGCAGGAAGTAACTTGCCTCGGCTCTTAAGTGTGGTCAGTGGCAGCCTCTCAAACTTACTGCTGTGAACACGCCTCAGAGCGTGAGCAAGATGACAATTATCAATTTATCCAGGAAGCATTTGTTAATGCCATCAGGGAACTCATTCATTCCTGTACTCATGACTGTGCTTATTCGCCCACCCACTCACCTATCTACACATTTTTTTTTTTTTTAATGTTTGTGTGTGGGGAGGTGGTGGTGGGGTCAGGCAGGGCACCAACTAGTTGGGATGTCAAGGGGAGGGGATATGGCCTGCTCCAATAGAATGTTCTTCCGGTCTAGCTGTGTAAAAGCCAAGTGAAAACTAGGATCAGGCCACCTGGGAATACATAGGAGAGTCACCCTGAATGAACTAAGCTGTGTTCCAAACCCGGCTCAGGTTTATTCGCTACTGTGGTGACAAGCCTGGGTGATGACAGCTAACTATGGCTGTGGCTTTATCTCAGCTGAGTGCAGCACGAGGGCAAGAGTTCGGTTTAATTTAATTACATTTCAATCAAATTTTTGTATATGCCTGAGTAAAATGGTGCGTGTGTGTTTATGTGTAGATCAGAGGACAATCTGTGGGGACTGGCTCTCTCCTTCCACCTTGTGTACTCTGCCAGGGTCCACCTCCCGTCGTCAGGCTTGGCAGCATGTGTCTTACTGGGCAAACCATCTTGGTGACTCAAGGGTGTAGTTTAGAGAGGTCGCTGACCTCCACGTGTGGGGGATAAATGGGAAGTTATAGACAACAAGCAAGATGGAGGACAAGGGGACTCAGGGTTTGATCCATTCAGGAGGATCAATGAGTGATGCTGAGCTGACCCAACAGGGAACACGGCAGGCGCTGTCCCAGGAATGAGGGCCCTCTCCCATGCCTGCTTCCCATCAGAAGCCCAGAAGCCTGACTTCCGAAGCCCTGCGGAGCAGCCAGAGCCGGGGAGGGTGGCCTCACCAAAGAATCTGCAATCTCCTTCAGAGTCTGGTCTGATCCAACAGCGAAGATAACTTTGCCATCAGGGGAGACAGTAACAGAGTTGTAGCTGCAAGACTTGAGCACGCACTCTGTCTCTCTCTTCCCTGTGGACAGGTTCCATTCATACACAGCGCCATCTGTTCCAGCAGAAATCAGTTTGCTGTCGTCTGAGTTCCACACAAGTGACCGAATCTGCAAGGGGTGCGGACACACCTGGGTGAGAAGGACACACACACACACACACACACACACACACACCAGCCTGGGGAGAAGATGAACCTAGGGGTTTTGCTACACTGTGACAGAGTGTCTTTTCCTGGCAGAGGTCTGTCATAAGCACATAACACGGCTTCTTGGCCATATTAACATTCTATTTTCTAACACGTTTGTAAAATGCAGAAAAAAGTGTAGAGCCGTTTCCATTTTACACTATGAATGCAGACCGACTCATATCAGTTTTCTAACGTTGTAACTAATCAATTATTAACACTGTTTTGAAAATGTGTGTGTGTGCGTGTTGTGGTGTGTGCTCTGTGTTTGTGGAGGTCAGAGTTCAACTTGCTGATCCTCAGGAGCACTCCCTCTTGCTGTCAGAGCCAGAGTCTTTCCCTGGGCTAGAGCTCACTGAGCAGGCTCGCCCAGGCCCAGGAATCCACTTGTTTCTGCTTTCCCTGTTGTAGGATTACAGTGAGATGTCATGATGAGATTTGTTTTTTAAGGTGGGGTTTGGGGCTCAAACTCAGGTCCTTGTGTTAGTGTGGCAAATATTTTACTGACCAAGCCATCTCCTTAGATTCCTGAAAACCCTCCTATCTAAAAACATTTACAGAATTTAAGATTTGTTGATCTTATGTGAATGCATGGCTTGGCTGAGGTTACAAGTGTCTGCAGAAGTCAGAATAGGCTGTCTGATCCCCTGGAGCTGGAGTTGTATTGTGGATAGTTGTAAGCCACCATGTAGGTGCTGGGAAATGAACCCAGGTCTTCTGTAAGAGCAATAAGCACTCCTAACTGTTAACTCCCAGCCTCCTTTGAGAGTACTTTTAGCTTTGAAATATCCCCAGGAAATTGTGAACAACAGCCCAGAGAGTGGTCTTCTAGACTGGTGGAGTGAGGACATCAGCTGGTCTCCCCAGGGACCTAAGCTAACTCAAAAAATAAATAGTCAGAACAACCACTTAGGGCTGGGGGCACAACTCAGTTGGTAAAGTCCTCACTTTGCAAGCATGAGGAACTGAGTTTGACTCCCAGGACCTACATTAAAAAAAAAAAAAAAAAAAAAAAAAAGCAGGCAAAAAGGCACATGGTCTGAGCTCAGCGATGAGGATGCAGAGACACGTGGATCCTATGAGGTGAGTTTCAGGCTAGTCAGAGAACCTGTCAAACAAACAAACAAACAAACAAACAAACAAACAAACAAACAAACAGAACATACACACATGTGAGCACCTATCAAAGTGTCTGGGACAGTGGAGAAGCATTCGTACGAGAAAATCTCCCCAATCTCTGTGAGAAGAGCCTATGGCATCTGTGCCCCCTGAAAAGCCATTGCTGTGTATTCTGGGCAGCAGCTGCCAAGGTGACATGCCACCTCTCCTGCTGCCCCGGTTTCACCCTGGTTCCCTTCCCCCAGCCAGTCTCCCTGGGGGCAGCTCCATCCATGTACAGACAGACCAAGAATCAACTGGTCTCTCCACGCCCCCTGAGAAACAGCCCAAGATTACCATTGGCTTTTGGTCAGAAAATCAGGAAGGAGACACAGAGGAGACATATGTTTAAAGCATGGAGAGTAACAACAGCAAAACCCACTGCCTTTCTGTCTAGCAAAATTCAATTTCTATTTTAATATGAAGGACACATTAATGTATCCTCAGATAAACAAAAACTGGAGAGCTAGCTGCCGGCAGACCTGCCTTTCAAGAAATACCAAAGGGAGTTCTTTTTTTAAAGATTTATTTATTTATACATATGAGCACTTTATTTGCATGTATTCCTGGATGACGGGAGAGAGCATCAGATCCCATTATAGGGGTGGTTGTCAGCTACCATGTGATTGCAGGGAATTGAACTCAGGACCTCTGGAAGAGCAGACAGTACTCTTAACTGCTAAGCCATCTCTCCAGCAGCAACCCCCAAAGGAAGTTCTTTAGACTGAAGGCAGTTGACCTATGACAAGGTGACATCACACCAAAGAAAGCACAACTGGTAATGTCATATGCAACCAAGAGACAATGTGATTGTGTGTTACATTTTCTTTACTCTCTGACATATAGAAAGTTCATATAAAATATTTATAATTATACTAATTTGTGGGTTTTTTTGAGCTTCTTTAAAAGACACAATATAGTTATATAAAGCAGTAATCAAAACAATGTATCATAGGCTAGGTGTGGTAGCACACACACACCTTTTAATCCCAGCACTCTAGAAAAAGAGGCAGGGCAGATCTCTGAGTTTGGGGCCAGCCTGGTCTACAGAGCAAGTTTTAGGCTAGTCAGGGCCTACATAGTGAGACCCTGTCTCAAAACCAACCAGCCACCAGCCACCACAGTGTACTATAATGAAAATAAAGTACAGGAGCAGTAAGTAGACAGCCCAGGGGGGAATCATGCTTGCTGTCAACTCTGGCAACCTGAGTTTGATCCCAGAGACCTACAATATAAAAGAAGAGAACTGGCTCTCCTCAGATCTCTACACTCATGTCACATACACACATACACACACACACACACACACACACAGAGAGAGAGAGAGAGAGAGAGAGAGAGAGAGAGAGAATTAAACAAAAATAAATAAAACACAATACAACAAAGGGCAGGACTGAACAGACCAATGTACATTTCACTGGTGCCAAGTCTAAGAATATCCGAGTTTGAAGCATTTATTTAATGGGTCACGATCTATAACTCTGTATGTTGCTAGGTTTCAGTATTTTGCTGTCTTGAGATTTCTCTGTCTGTGTTCACGAAGGGTATGGATCTGTAGTTTCCTTTCTTCTTTTGGACCATTCTGTTTGATCTTTTTTTTTTTTTTGGTTAGGTTAATGTTGGCCTTGAAATTGATTTAATATGTGTTCCACTTCTGTCTTGTGACTAGAAACATGTTTATGTTTTTGTTCCAGGTATGGATGTGGGACTGATTTAGACAATCCACAGCAGCAGACTATTTGCTTCATGTGGGCTCTGAGAGGAGCTCTTTGTCGGCTGTGGATAGTTTAAACCTGAGGACTCTGGAAAGAGAATAAATGCCAGAGCCCAGACAGTCAGAAGAAAGAACAATGCTGCTCCTGCTTCCTCCTTGCTGCTCCTGGTTGCTGTTGTGAGACAAGAAGTTGGAGATCTCCTGAAATGAGGATTGGACTGTCTCCAAGGAGCCCGATGACCCTAACTAGCAGGAAGCAGCTAAGATTAACTGAGCCCCCTCTCCCACTAACCTTTTCTCTCTCCTGCCTGGCATTGGGGTGGAGTAGGGAGAAAAAGATATAAGAAATGTAAATAAAAGAGTTTTTTTTTTTTTTTTAAGTATGCCAGCATTTCTGTTGTAGGGAAGTAACTGTATAGAACTGGCCTTAAGTTCCCTTCCAACGTATAGACACACCTGCTCCTGTCTCTCTGCATTAAAAGCCATAAACTCATGGCTTTACCTCTAACTTTGGTTGAACCACCCATTCATCTCAGGCCTTTCCCTCTCTCTGTACTTGTAGACTCGGCTCCTATTATCTTTAACATTTGCTTTTTCTGCTTTTTCTATAAGTAGCCCATCTCCTGACCCAATGGCTCTTTTGGTAAAATGGCTATTCCCACTTAAATCAATGTCTTCAGCCATCTTAGCCCTGCCTTCATCTCTTAAAAGATGAACTTCATTTGTTTAATGTCATTATAAAAGAACACAGTGATCTTACTTACAATAATACTCCTAAATGATACTGAATCTGAACATCCTTTGAATTTTATGCCTCCTCAATCATGTTGTCTGCAGTAGTTTTATTAATTGCCATTTGTTCCAATTTCTTGTTTTATAGTACTGGTCCGGACTCAGTAAAAGGCTACCAAGGAAGACCCAGTATAAAATACTTAGGAGATCTATAAGGCTCCAGGCCCTGGGGACAGGCAAATCTCTGCAATCCCAGTTCACCTGTGTGCTGCCTGACATCCGAGTTCCATCCCCACTGACTCTTCAGGACCTCTGACACTCCCTCTGATCTCTCTGTGGGGTTGGTATTCTCACATGTGATGGTTATTGCCACCAGCTCTGTCTGTGTGACTCCTCCTCCCTTCCCCAGGACCAAGCCTTTGCAAACGGCATGCTTTCCTTTTTTTCTTTTTCCGCATGCTTTTCTTTCACCGAGTCGGTTTGTTGCAATTTGTCTTTGCAGGTATTTTGTGAGCCCTGTGGCCAGCACAGTGCATGACTCAGTGCCCCTTGCCACCCTGGCCAATGGCCACTGACGTACCTTCCCTGTGTGGCCTTTCAGGTTGGTAATGTTCTCCAGGCTGGTGGTAGTGAAGATGTGAATTACATTTCCATTGACTGCAGCAAACAGGTGTCCTCCATTGCTAAAGGCACACTGCGGGCAGGGAGGAAGCAAGCAAAAGGTGAGCGTCTGAGTGGAGACCACCTTTCTAGGGGAGTTCAGGCAGGACTCTGGGTGGGGTGGTGGTGGGGAAGGGCTGTTTCCAGGCACCGCCAATAATCCTACAGCTCCCTGCTTCTAGCACAGAGTTTCATGGCGTCTGCAGGTAGGTAATGCTTTCCGTCACTGACTTGCTTCTTCAAGCCATTTCAGAGAAATATGATGGGCTGCGCCTGTACCTCACGATTCATACTGTTCCTGGCTCCTCACAGTCTCCGCTTTTACCCTCCCAGCGGGGACTCCCACTTTAGGATTGCTTTTCTTCTTTAATCTTTACTAAGACGCCCAGCCCTATCACAGATGGCATCCCACAAAGACTTAGTCCAGTGAAATTATTTTGGTGGGCATAGAAAAGCATGGACAGGGGCTGAAGAGGTTGCTGGGTGGTTAGAGCACCGGCTGCTCTTGCAGAGGACACGGGTTCAATTCCCAGCACCCACGTGGCAGCTCACAACCGGCTGTAACTCCGGCTCTAGGAGATCTGACACCCCCAAAAAGATATGAACACCAAATGCACATAAAAATAAAATACTTAAAAAAAAAGAAAAGAAAGAGAAAGAAAAGAAAAAAACGAGAAGCATTGACGGAAGCATGTGCCCAAGGGTCTGGTGAAAGATGCTCTGGTTGTTGTAAGCTACCAAGGCCCCACCAGACAGACTTTGGTCCCATGGTCTTTACCTCTTTGCATGCTCTGACGGAATACTCTTTGAAAGGACGGATGTCGTCAATGAGCAGATTCATAAGGCGGAGTTTGTCAGCAAACCCCACCACAATTGAGTGTCCAGAGGGGTGAAGGCTGATTGTATAGGCTTCTTCTTGGTATTCCTTATATAGCTCCAGTGTGCTGTGAGAAAGGCCAGGTACTGAGTTATGAGTTGAATGCCTAGCCCCTTAAGTCCCCCATTTTATTAGGTTTTGCCTGTCTGAGTTATTTGGTGGCGTGCAATTACTGTTTCTTGGATTCTGGTTGCTTGAAGATAATGGTGGGCACTGAATACAGCTGAGATAGGGAAACTGGTCAAGATGCCAGCGGGTAATGAACACTCTGAGAGCCCAAGGATTACAAGGACTTTCCCCACAAGTAATTTCTCCAAGCAGCCCCTTCTACACACAGAGTAAAGAAGAGTATGGGTCCAGCCTCATGGAGGCTGTACCAGAAGAATATGACTGGGAAAAAAGGAGGAGCCAAAGGTCAAAAGAGATCCCTGTAGCAAGAGAAATGGGAACGGGAAGGAACAGCAGAGTTGGAGGGACAAAATTATTAACGGAAGGTGAGCTACTGTGGGGCACTTACCTTTATGTTTCTAGGGTCTGGCATGTACTGAGCATTTAATAAACCAGAAAGTGATTTTCTAGCCCATGCAATACTGGGAGGCATCTCACTAATTTGGTTTTTAGTAAAAGGCTTTTCCAGCAGAAAGCTTCTGGATCATTGGATTGTAAGCCTCTCTAATTAAAACGCTTTGCATAAACAGACTTAAAGATTGACGTTCTGTGCACATAATAGAAGCAGAGCCTTTTCCTCCTTACTTGGTTTCATAATTCCAGATGCGGATGGAGCGATCCAGAGAACAGGTGGCAATGAGGGGTTTTCGGATGCAAGTATCTAGACCAGTGATGGCCGCCGAGTGCATTGGGTAGAGCAGGTACTCGAACTGGGCAGGCTCTCCCTGGAGAAACCACACAGAATGAGATCCAGATGGGTGAGCAAAAGGCTGACCGTGTCTTTCAGCATGAATTAGGACCCAGGAACCTTAATTAGCCTGTGCATACAGAAATCATGCTAAGGCACATTCTTTCAATGTTACACATGGTTTTCCTGGGGCACTATTATTTTTAAAGTAAAAAGCAAGGCCATGGAACCTACAGGAGAGTCTATTACAGCCTGCTTTTTTCTTTTCTTTTTTTCTAAACCAGTATAATCTCTAACTGCATTCTAAGTACTTATTCTTACACCCACAGGTAAGTGTGCTGAGACTTATGGCCAACCTTTGGGCAGAGTGCAGGGAATCTTATGAAAGAAGTGGGAAATAGTAAGATCTGGAGAAGACAGGAGGTCCACAAGGAGAGCAACAGAACCAAAAAATCTGAGCACAGGGGTCTTTCCTGAGACTGATACCCCAGCCAAGGACCATGCATGGAGATAACCTAGAACCCCTGAACAGATGTAGCACATGGCAGTTTAGTGTCTAAGTGGGTTCCATTGTAATGGGAACAGGGGCTGTTTCTGACATGAACTGATTGGCCTGCTCCAGGCCACAGAGGAAGACAATGCAGCCACTCCTGATGAGACATAATAGACTAGGATCAGAAGGAGGGAAAATACGACCTCCCCTATCAGTGGACTTGGGGAGGGGCGTGTGTGGAGAAGGGCGAGGAAGGGAAGGATTGGGAGGGGAGGAGGGATGAGCTATAGAGGGGATACAAAGTAAATAATGTGTAATTAATAAAAAATTAAAAAAAATAACCTAGAAAAAAAGAAGCTGCTTTTTTTTTTTTTTTCCAGACAGCGGAGAACGTTACAGAAATTCACAACTGTCAAAATGCAGAGAACAGCCGACCCAGTGTGCCCACCCTCAACTGCTACATCTATATCCCAACCTCCACACTGAATGCTCAGGGAACATCACAGAAAAGGGGGTGGAAAGACTGTAAAAGCCAGAGGACCAGGATGTGTGCTTTGGGAGGCCAGAAAGGAGGATACAGGGGACAGATCTGAGAGGAGTTGGAGGGAGAAATGGGGGTGTGTGAATATGATCAAGATCTTCTAACAATTATTAGAGCATTAGATAGATATTATTTTAGGGGCTGCAGAGATGGCTCAGTGGTTAAGATCACCGACTGCTCTCACAGGGGATCCAGGTTTCGGTCCCTGCACCCATACGGTATCTTACAAATGGTCTTAACTTCAGTTCCAGGGGCCCTGATGGTCTCTTCTGGTCTCCTACAGTGCCAGGCACACACATAGTACACAGATATACATGTGGGCGAAACACCCATACACAAAAATAAATAAAACTTTAAACATTTATTATTTTAATGGCAACACAAATCTAGTGTCCTAGGCTTTAACCATTCCTCCTCTGTGGGAGCATGAGTGTGGCTTCTAACTTTGTTACTCCAGAATAACCCTGTAGACTGAATGTCCTTCCACCTACGGCTTCGTGTATCTCTCAGTACTTCCTCAGGATACATTTCCAGGTGTGGAATTCTGGGTAAGTGCTATAAATATTTTTAAGCATCTTAGTAAGTAATGGCAACTTTCCCTTCGTAGAGACCATACTAATTACGTGAGGGCCATTTAGCACTGAGCAGTGGGTGAGTGGTCCGGTGGGTGTTCCGGGTGTCTGTCACCTGAGGCATTTTCTCTGATGACATAGGGGAGTGATGGTTGGGAAATGGAATGAGGCGAACACATGCTAGGCCTGTTCCCAGACCAAGCCAAAGGTTGAGATGAGAGTTCCCACCGACTCTTATGCCTTCCCACTTACAAATTTACATGCACCCACTCCTTTCTGCTTTCCTGTCTGAGACAGAGGTGCTGTGTATTTGTTACTCCTTTTACCTTCAATGTCTGGTAACGTTGTTTCTACTAGCTCATTCTTACTGGCTTTTAAACATGCTCACACTTCCCTCTCCCACCCCCAAGGGAAGCAATTCTTTTCTTCTCCTAGGCCCAGTAGTTGTGGAATGACAGGGACCAGATCAGCAAGCGCACCAGTCTCCCTCAGAGTCCATGGTCAGGAGCCCCTATGGCCTGCATATGTCCCTCGATGCCTTTGCTTTCTGAAGTTCCATGCTAACTATCCTATACTATTTGTTTTCTTTTTTTCAGATCTCATGGTTTGAATGTGAAATGTCCTCCACAGGCTCATGGTGTTTGAACACTTGGTCCCAACTAGTGACACTCTTTTGCCACTATGTAGAACCTTTGGGAAGGAAAGGAAGCTAAGGAAGGGGAGGGGGATTCTAACGTGTTACTGCCCCACCCTGCCTTGTGTTTGCTCAGCTTCCTGATCCAAAGAGATGTGAGCAGGCAGCCTCAGGCTCTTGCTGGCAGAGGCTCAGCTGTTCCTGATGTCAAGCCTTCTCCTCCACGATAAACTGTACCTTCAAACCGTGAACTAAACCAAATCCTTCCTCCACTAATTTGCTTTCTGTCAGGTATGTGGGCACAGCGACAGGTAACTATGTACAGATATGAATCTGACTGCAGGAGTAATAACACCAAAGGTGAATGGGTAACAAGTGAGACCCAGGCTGGAAGGATGCTCAGTGGCCGAGTGTGTGCTCAGCATGTGTGAAGACCAAGGCCACACCTACTCCACCAAGGCCACACCTCCCAATAGTGCCACTCCCTTTAAGCTTTTGGGGGCCATTTTCATTCAAACCACCACAGGTCCTGTACTCCATGTCATACACACACACAATCAAAATAGATCAAATAATTAAATCAAAGAGCTAATACTATAAAACTTAAGGACAGGGGTCTATCTTCATTACCCAAAGCTGTAGTGATGGATCCTTAAACACAGAAGAAAAATAGACCAGTTAGACTTTATTAAAATAGGAGCTTTTATGAAATACCAAGACAGTGAGAAGATTCTAGAGGTGATGGGGCATACCAACAACCCAGCACTTGGGGGAAGAGGCTGAGGCACAGGTCCATGCCTATAATGCACAGTAACCCTCAGAGCCAAGTAGTAAAAAGATTGCGCAGAGTTAAAAGTGGAAGGAAGATCCCAATAGAATTTCTTCCAAGGAGATGGACAGAGATGCTGGTGTTATGGTCACCAGGGAAACGCAAACTGAAACCATGATGAGGAGCTCTCAGTACTGCCTCTTGGAATTTAAGCAGTTTCTCAACTGCCCAACATGGAGCTACCGAGCATGGTGGTTTTGAAAGAAAATGGCCCCCAGAGGCCCATAGCGGGTGGGTGCTATTAGGAAGTGTGGCCTTGCAGTAGGTATGACTAAGGGGCTGGGTTTTGAAGTCTCAGGAGTTCAAGCCAGTTTTCTTCCTGCTGTCTGAGGATCAAGATGTAGGACTCTCAGCTCCTTCTCTAGCATCGTGTCTGCCGGCACACGATACAGAATAAGCAAATCTACATCTTATACAGAATGAGCAAATCTATCATCTATGGAATAGATCTAGCGCTTACTTAGGCTGAGGTGGGAGGGACTGTGGCGGGATGACAGTTAAAGGGTGTGGGCTGTTTTCTCTATGAGATGATGAATATAGTCTACAATTGACTGCACTACTGGCTGTTCAGCTGTGAATAACGAGGCTGCTATAAAACACCGCTGGGCTGGAGATGTAGCCCGGCTGGTAGAGTGCTTGCCTAGCATATACATGAAAACCTGGGTCCGACCCCAGCATGGTATGAATAAAAAAGGTGATGCCTCTGCCACTGAGGTAGAGGCAGGAAGGTCAGAAGTTCAAGGTCACTTTTAGATACTATGGCTATATGAGTTCCTGTCTCACAAACAAACAGACAAAACCCTCACAAATAGCAATAACATACTACCCAAAATATGACTAAAAAGGATATGTTCAAAAGCCCTGACTGTGACTGTAGGTGATCTGTTTTCCTCACTTTATGTATTTGAGTCCATGCTGCTTGGGGACACAGGTGAAATGATATCTTACTGATGAAGTGTACAATGAACAGTGAGAGCTTCTTTTGGAGTGTTTTGTGATAGTCTCCTCTGCAACTCCAAAACAAGCCAAAAGAAGCAACTACAAAGATTTTCATATCTCCACCTTTGGGCCGTGACTAGGTATGGTAGTAGATTAAATTCAATGAGATGCAACTCCTGGCAGGACTTGCAGGATTTGGATTTGATAGGCAACGCCAAGGGGCACTCCCACCCTCACCCCTCTGCTTGCTCGGCTTTTCTGTTTGCTCATGTGATCAGGGTCCATGAACCATACAGAGCTTTGTGTGAGATTCTGTCCACGGGGTGAGCAGCCCTTCAGATGGGCATCCCAGCGTGGACTGGAAGGGGACTGATGCCCTTGGAGGAGGCTCACCTTGCTGATCTCTGTCAGGGACATGGTGATGGTGTAGAGCTGGCTCTTGTTGGTGCTGGCGATGAGGGTTTCTTCCGATGGGCTGAAGCACAGGCACAGAACATCCTGTTTGTCTGACTGAGATGGGTCATTGCTTTGTGGGTCCATCGGGATCTGCTCAAGGCACAGACAGCCATCAGTCGTTCTCAGTCCCAGTCCTTGGCCACAGGGGTCCCAGGGGTACTTTTAATTCACAGGCTCCTGGCCAGGCTACCCCCCTCTTCTTGCTTGGGCCTGGAGAAGGGAGGGTTGGTGTGGCTCTGCTTGTATTGGTTTTAAATAGCACTGAGTGCTCCTTTTGCAGCAGCTAGCATTTGAATGGCTAGACAGCTGTGGGAATGAGCAGGCCAGGCACCCCAGTGTGAGACCCGGGAACATGCATATTCATTTAAACCCACCCCAGATGTCCACCTGTTGGAAGCCAAGAACATGGGATCACTTGGCCCCCAGTATACCTGTGTGTACTTCGGGGTCTTGGAGGGAAGTGGTGGCCCTTCTACAAGATGGGGTGGGCTAAAGGGAGAGGGAAGGATAAGGGGTCACAACCCTAGGCTTGGAGAGAAGCTGTGGCTCCCAACGAGACATAGTAAAATTAGATTTCCTATCCCCTTATATAGTGCCTGTGACTGACCAGGCATGTTGATGGGCCAGCCTGCATGAGCCATTTCTGCACCCTGGCTCTCTCTCAGGCCTTAGTTTCTTAGAGCTTCTCAACCTGGGAGCTGTAGGAACAATGGCTCATCTCAGCCTGTAAGTCACTGATTCGTGTCTGACACTATGTATCATGGGGAGGTCAATTTTTCTTAAACAGAACCCATTACCACCCCCAATCTTTGTATGTTCCAGACTGGCATTTGTTACTTTTCACTGTTCACAGTTGCCCCTCTTTTCCTTTCAAGTGTCACGAGCCCCTCTGTACTGGGCAGCAGGGCATGTCCTAAGCACGCCATTGCTCCCCCTTCTGCCGCCAGGGTGCCATGGCTTAAGCTGTGGTCTCCACCTGGAGTTCCTGGCTTACGACCTCTTGTCAAGTGTCATTTATTTTCTTAGATCCTTCAGGAATAGCACCAAATACCAAGGAGCCTTCTGGGTTCTTCTCCCAGCTGCTGTATTGCACCTGTCTCCATAGCTTTCTGTGTGGCGGGCCAGGATACCCTGAGACTTTCCCTGGGACTCTGGTGTGTGGAGAAATAACTTAATTCCTTGTCTAAAACCAGGTGAGGCCATGCAAGGCCAGGAATGGCTGGGGACCAGGGCCTTGGGGAAACTGGGATTTTCTGACCTTTCCCCCTCGAAGGGCTATGGTTTTCAGTGCCAAGACCATTGAGTGCTTGATCTGTGATGTACTTGAGATACTCTATGTTCCCCTTGTGTAACACTGCACGATTAGCTTCCTCCTGACTTTATCACACTGTATAACAGGTTTCCATGGACTCTGTCCCGTTCTCCCCCTGCAAGCTGTATATAAGATGCTGTATTTCTTTTTCTTTTTAAAAAAAGATTTATTTATTATGTATACAGTGTTCTGCCTACATGCCAGAAGAGGGTACCAGATCTCATTATAGATGGTTGGGAGCCACCATGTCGTTACTCAGGACCTCTGGAAAAGCAGCCAGTGCTCTTAACCTCTGAGCCATCTTTCCAGTCCAATGCTGTATTTAATAAACTTGCTTGCATGAGCTATCAGTGTAAGACCTCCTGATCCCAAACTTTTCTATCCTCTTTAGTTTCTCATCTCCTGGTCGTCCCCCTCAGATCCCTGTCATTGAAGAACAACCTGCTGGTCCAGGTCATTTCTGCATCATTTATTCCATAAATGTGTGTGCTGAGCAGTATGCTTATTATCATGGGTGTAATAGCAGAAGAGTTATGAGGCACTAAGATTCAGGGAGAAAGTGTAATTTACCACATTTCCCCACAGGACTCAAATCCAGACCTTGCTTCTTCTAAATCCCAATCCAGTTTACCGGCTCCTAAATTTCTCAGGACAGGTTCTTTGTCTTGGTCTCTGCCTAGTCCTTCCCCACAAAATGCTCTGTCAGAGCTCTGCAGAACAACAAGGACCCCTGCTTGCTTTCTTCTTCCTGCCTGCCTGCCTTACCCGGATTTCCCTGCTCTCCCGGTAAAAGTCCTTATCTTCCACCTTCTCAAACAGCAGCACTCTCCCTGGCCCAGCAGAGCAGGCAAAGCCCTTTGAATAGGCAGCGATGGCGAATACTTGGGGCATGGCCAGCTGGCGGGAGTCAGTAGCTGTCACGACCTGTTCAACGGAGGGGACTGGGGAGCTGCGTGGTGGAAACTCGATCAGGCTGGAAAAGGAAAGAGCACGTTATGTTTTCGGAGCTAATCCTAAGGAGAAGCATGGAGTTCTGGAGGAAAAGAGTGGAGAGGGGGAGAGAGACATAAACAGTGGCACACAAATTTAATTCCAGGGCACAGAAAGCATAGGCAGGTGGATCTCTGGGATCAGCCTGGTCTGGATAGTGAGTACCAGTATGGAGGTCACATAACGAGACCCTGTCTCCTGAGAGATGGGTGGGATAGCTTTGGCTGTGAGTGATGCCATCTACTGATCTCCTTCTCTGTGGCCAAAAACTGCTTGAAACTCTACATAGGGCAGTGAGAATGCTCGCTAGGCTGAGGATGGTGATTATTATTTTGTTTAGAGAGAAGTGGTTCAGCAGATAAGAGTTTGCTAGGATCACACAACCCTGCCAGAACTGAGATCTGAACCCAGGTCTCTCTTTTCATTCATTCACTCATATGATAAATGTTTATACCTGTTCATAAATGGTAATTTAGAGTTATAATGGCTCCGTGAAACAACAGTAATGAGACCAGTGCAGTCCTTGCCTTGGAAAACTTCAAGTCTTGGGCTCATCTACTTAGGAGTGTTAAGGGGAAACTAGGCATGCCACAAAGAGCCGGCCACGAGTAACACAGGCTTTCTGAGGACAGGGACTGAGGAGGTGCACCTGTCCAAGGTGAGCAGAGACCAAGTGCCCTTAGCCAGGCCTTCCAGGGCAAATAGGAATGGGTGTTTATGTGTTGGGGCAGGAAATGGACAAAGGGAACCACACTTGACTGAACACACTAACAAGTGAATACATTGGTTATTCAAGGTGCCCAGAGGTGAGAGCTCATGCTCCTTTCAGGAGAGGAGAGAGGCAGGGCTACTTGGGTAGGGCTAAGTCCTGGACCCATTGAAATACTGTGCATAGCAGATGTAAACATGTGTCTTCATCAAATATCATTGTAAAATTCCAAGATTTGTTGGCATATAAAGGATTATCTGAATATCTAATGTAAGTATTAACCAGTAACGGAACAATTCCATCAATAATTTCCTAGGAAGCCCTTACACAAGTCACAAAAATAAGGAGGAACCAGCTGGCATGGGTAGGGGACAGTGGGAGATGGGGCAAACAGAAGATACTGAGAAGGAAGAATCCACAGGGTGCCAGGTGGCGGGGAGCGTGGGCTCTGGGCTCAGAGGGAATAAAATGAATAAAATGAAACACTAGTCCCATCACGGAGCGATGCTGAGCTCTTGGGCAAGTGACTTAACTCCTTTGGGCCCTGGTCCCCTGGTCTTACAATGACATGCACTGTGAGGGATGGGACTCAAGAGCGTATGTCAGCAGTGCCTGACAGGTCCCACAGTACATTCCACTGCGTGACATGTGACCACTCGTGTTACAAGGAGGATGAAACCCAGCACCCCTTCCTGCATCCCTTCCCTTACCACAGAGCCTCTGTCAGGTCTACGGAGTCCATTTTCTTGGCCCTCTTTGCTCCTTGTTGCCTCTTACTGAACTGTCAATGCCTGAGGGCCTGTGTTCCTACTATATGGCAAGGCACTGTGTACACTGAGAGGGCTCCAAAGGCATTTATTACATGGATTTGGTAAATTAGGCACGCAGCCAGTCATAGAAAACATGCTTTTGAAGAAAAAAAAATCTACAATTTTGAAGATTTGTCATACTGAACTGTGTATAAAATGAGATTAGGCATAAAAATAAAAAAGACTTGTCTGTGGACTATTGTCATTAACTGCCAGGTTTGTGCTTTGAATGCTGATAGAGGCTAAAAGAGAAGGAAGAAACAAGCACAGTTGGTTTTCAAGGTGGAGTGATGGTGAGTGGCAGAAAGATTTCTTCATGCAGGTGTCTAGCCTGCATGTCTGTAAGTGTACTGCCCACAGAGGCCAGTAGAGGCTGCCAGATCCCCGGAATGGTTATCAGGTGCCATGTGGGTGCTGGGAACCAAACCTGTGTCCTCTGCCAGAGCAGTGAGTGCTCTTACCTGCTGAGCCATTTCTCTAGCCTTGGTGAGAGGCTTCAGGAAGAAGCTCATTTTATATAACTTTGGCAGGGCAATGAGGGTGGGCGCTAGCCCAGCAGGGGACACCATTACCTCTCTGACTCCTGGATGACCTCCAGGCTCTTGGAGCTTGTAGACTCCTTGACCATGATGCTTGTCTCCCAGCGTTGATCTCCAGATTCGTAAAGAAAGAGCCTGCCGGTGTCAGTGCCAACAATGATCCGTTCCTCAGACACCCAAGCATGGGCTAGGTAGTTTGGGAATTCTCCCCTCTGGAAATTGGTTTGCTTTAGGGTTCCTTCAGCAAAACGGAGAAGCTTAAATATCCCGGTTCCAGTGATGCACAATTGAGTATTATCTTGGGGATTGATGCTAACCTGCAAAATGTTAGGAGATAAAATAATTAAAAAAAAAAAAAAAGATAAGATGAATCTTGATAGTTATTCCTCACCTCACCAGTTAATACTCACTTTTGGTAGTTCATAATATCTTGTACATATCACCAAATGCTGGAATTTTATACTAGTTAAAGATACATGTCTATGTCTACCGGATGGACAATAATTTTTTTTTTAATAATTTTTTTTTTAAAGTAGGACAAACTTCTTTTTGGTAGCCTAGGCTGGCCTTAAACGGTTACTCCTCACACCTCAGCTTTCTGAGTGCTGTGATTACAGGCACGCACCAACATGTCTCCCAGTATGAGCAGCGAAATGGAATGAAGTTTAGCTGCAGAGACTAGGGGTTGAGCCTGTGTATGGGGGCCTGTCCAGGGGGAAGAAACCACACATCAGGAGTGATGATGTGGTCTTCTACCAGACCAATTTCCTTCATCTGGAGCCCTTATCCCAACACACACTAGTGACAGTTAACCTGCCATCCTCAACAGAGCAACTTGGGGGTGTGTTGCTGCTGAGTCCGTGAGGCTAGGTTCATAGTGGGCACCTAGGAAATGCCAGTGATCTGCTGCAGAGGCAGCAGTCTCTGTGCTCAGCAGGGGTCATCACTGGACACTATGGTCTGGATGAAACAGCCTTCCAGTTTTCCCTGCCTTTGTGATTCGTCAATTAACACTCATTTTCTCTGTACTGAGAATGGATATGGTATCCAGGCTTGCACATCTACCCTTGGGAGATGAGTGATTCGGGCCTGAGGCTCTAGCAAGCTGGTGTCTCTGAACATGGACAGTACTGACTTCTTGAAGTTGCGAATATGAATATAAGATGCTGGGCAGGGGTGACTGCAGAGAGATAAAACCGGGGGGGGGGGTGTCCCTGCCTAGGCAGTCATCTGGTTTCCTAAATGGTCTTCATTTTGCTCTTCAACTGCAATAGAAAATTCAGTTCTCCACACACCTGTGACTTCATTGGCAGTTTCCTACACATCTACCTTTTTTGGTGGGCATGCTGGCACCCATCTCTAATCCCAGCACTTAGGAGGCAGAGGCAGGCAAGACCATGAATTCATGGATAGTCTGAGCTATGTGGTCATAACCTGATTCAAACCCAAAACTAACACCCCTCCCGAACAAAATAAGAACCCAAACCTACCACTTTATATGCCATTCCTGAAATCTTCCTACTGCCCAGAAGTCTACTGCAAAGGGGCCAGAACCAAGAGGAGTGCATTTCAGTCATCACAGCTGGGTCTAACCTGCACCTGGGCAGTAGTTCTGGGCCATAGGGGGAAAAAAAGACAGTAGACAAAATTGGGAACTAGAGGGCTCTGCCTCTCACCACTTCTGCAGTCTTGGATGAGTTACTTAGCCCCTCAGAGGCCCAGGGCCCTCATCTCTAAGGTGGGATAACAACCACGTATTTCTTGTGTGGTTACTGTGAAGCTCCATTTTAAAATGGGGGAGAACTGAGCACTGAGACACAAAGCAAGTGCTGAGTCGAAGCTGGGCGCTTAACTGCTTTACAGTGGGCAAGGCGCTTGTCATGTCAGGAGGTACCTGGTAGATGGGGTTGTTCTGAACATCAGCTCTAATAATGGCCATTACTTTCTGCTTTTCCCACAGCCAATAGATGAGGTTTGACTCTGGAGGCGACGTCTGTGTCAGCAGGTATTTAGAGTCTGGAGAAAAAGCCATGCTAACAAACTTTTGAACTTGGAAGTCAAAATTATTCAAGATTTTGCGCTTCCGGCAAGGGACGGATGACAGCTCATAAATAGTGATGGTGGGTTTTTCTTGCACAGTCTCGGAGATGGCGAGGTATCGCCGATTGGGACTGATGGCCAGCGCCAGCATGCCCTGACTCTTGTCTGAGCCTGCAAAAGGAGGTAAAAGGCGGGACTGAGGAAAGACAATGCTTCCATCAAGGCAACAGAGTAGAAAGGTGCGCAAATGCGTAGAGATCCGTCCTTGGCCACCCTTAGTTTGACTGTACACAGGTAACTGTGAAAATGATGGGATGGGTACCTCGCTAGGCTGACCTGGGATGCTGAGGAACCTTTCCTGACCAGAGAGGGTGGAGGAAGCTGCACGTGGCAGGACGTAACAGAGGGTGCAGTGTGGTGGACATTGTGTGGCAGTCAGGGGTGACCAGGGATGGGTTAACAAGGGTGGAATAGGGTCTAATCCTATGGGCCTTCATGTCCTGAATCCAGCGTTCAGTACTCTGCTGTTGGGGTCGGAGGCTAACTACTCAACTCCTTGGTCTGGCAGTTAGACAGATGCCCAAGTCTTTGTGGTGAAGCTTTGTGCTTCCCTGATAACTGAAGATGCATGCATGCTGTGTTCCCTTTCCTGGAATTTAGAGCTGACAGCTGGAAACGCAGCCAGCATCCTGCTGCCCTGCAGTAACAAGCAGGGAATGAAAGCTGTGATGAAAGTGTGAATGCTCCATCCGGAAGACCACAGCAGGTCCTATCACCCGGGCCCCAGGCACTCTGCTTTCATTTAAAGTGATAAAAATAGGGCTGGTGACTTTTCCACAGGAACTGAGTTAGCTTCCCAGCACCCATATCGTGTGACCCAATACTACCTGTAACTCTAGCCAGGAGGATTCAAAGCTTCCAGCCTCTGCAGGCACCACACATATGTGCACAGGCCTGTTGTGCACACACATATGTGTAATTATAAAAGAGCAAAATGAATGATGAAAACAGGGCCGGCAAGATGGCTTGGTGGGCAAGAGTGTTTGCTGCCAAGGCTGAGGATTGAAATTTGATCCCCAGGACCCACATGATAGAAGGAACAAACTCCCATGAGTGGTCCTCTGACCTTCACATGCATGCCATGGCATGCAGGTGTACAAGTACAAACACGCACAATGAATGAATAAATGTAAGAGAATTGTGTGTGTGTATATATATATATATATATATATATATATATATATATATATACACACATATATACACACACACACACATATATATATATATATATATATTGAATATATACACAGTCACATATTTGATGGTTGCACTAACATAAAGAGGAACATAATCCAGGCTGGGATTATAGTCATGTAATTAATACTGCTATATTCATTTTTTTCTGATATTAGTGCAAAGTAAAATCTTTTCATGTGGGCCTTGGGCACTGTGCACAGGATGAGTCACCCATGGATGTGGGTCCCAGACAGTGGGGTTGAGGGGGCAGGGAAAGATGCACTAGAAAGTTGCACTGGAGTCTCTGTGTGATGGGCTCCATGCTGCTGCTCTCTAGCAAGCTAAGGAGGGATGAATATGTTGTCTTGTAGCACATCTGCCCAGCACACTGGACTCCTGCAGGAAGGCTGGAGGGACAGCTGTGCCAGAGAAGACCAAGGCTGAGAACCTTCCCAAGGGTCTAGACTGAGGCTGGGAGGCAACAGATGGCACTGGGAACCTTCCTGAAGGGTGAGAAGTGTGTGGCAGGAAGATCTCCCTGGCACTGTGTGGCTCTCCCCGGAGGCAGGTGGACTGATTGGCCAGCAGGTGATTCGTAAAGTGGGAGGTAGCAATATGTGATGTGGAGGCAGCAGGGACAGTGGACATAGAAATGAGGGGTGACAAGGCGGTGCTAAGAGGTAAAAGCAGCAGAATTCTGTGGTTGACTGGGGGAAGGCATGAATGCCTGGGAAAAGTGGAATGCCAGGTGTGGAGTACGGATTGGACAAGTTACTGCTGTTGGAATTTGCTTAAAATGGTCCCTCTAAGTCACGGAGCTTTAATTATGTGTATTGGTTTCTAGTTTGTAATGATTTGACTGATTTACATTTAAGTGTTCAATCTAGAGTCCATGCTGATAAAGGATAATGAGGGAGATGCTAGAGTATGGTGAGATGGCTCTGAGGTTGAGAGTATGTCCTGCTCTTCCAGAGGACCTGGGTTCCATTCCCAGGACCTGAGTGAGGGGGCTCAAACCTCCTGTAACTTCAGCTCCAGGGTATCTGACGTACTCTTTTGGCCCCTATAGACATCTGCACACTCACAGACACACATACATACATATTTATGAAAAAGAAGACTCTAAATGGCTTCCCAAGCCTACACTGACTCCTAACACTACTTCTATGATATATTAAAATTGCATATTTACATACATATTTACTGGGCTTCTGGGCTCTTTATGCTTGCACCTCATTGCTCTTGTAATAATGTCTTTAACACAGGTTTGAATATCCAGCAAGGAAAAACATAAAGAGGAGATAATAAAATTGGATTTTGGATGTACATATATAAGCTCCATATATGAAATGTAAGGTAAAATATGGGGTAAAAGGGTGTAGAAGTTGACTAAGATTCTGAAGCTGAGGGCCAAGGCCGGCACTGAAGCCAGGGTGGGCAGGAAATGGCATAGCGAGACGTTAAATCTGGGAGCACGATCACGCCTGGAGGAGGCAAGGGGAAAAGTGCTCATTCCTGTGCTTTTTGTCAGGCTCTGCTGGGTGAAGCATGCGCCCCAGTCACTGACACAAGCTGAAAAGCACGCTTGTTGCTGCCAAGGCCCAGAGCCTGTGGAGAGCAGGGAACACGACTTTCTTGCCATTCATTCACTTGTTCATTTACCAGGGAATGAAGCTCTAGCAGGTGTATAGCCATGCCTGGTGCAAGGACAGGCATGTTGAGAACTGTGTCCCTAAGTGATTGGTGTGGATACCATTGTGTGGACTAAAGCAAGATGTCTACAGTATCACTAGGCAACACAGTCCTCTGGGACCATTGTTGTAAACACGGTCTCCAATGGTGATAGTTCCATGTAGCCCGTGACTGGACTTCTGATTTTAGTTTGTCAGACACTTTCACATTGCTTTCAGTCCAGTTGATTTAGTTCTCCTTGGAATAGCTTCTCTCCCACAAGAGCGTGCATCTTTCTCCCCCTCCCCCACACCTGGTCCTTCTTTTGCTTGTTATTCCTCAGCCCCTCAGCCCTAAATGGAGGAGGGTCCCAGAGCTTACGGAAGCCTCAGCTCATGCGCTTTCTAGTTCATCCATCTGACCAGATTCCTTTCTCTGAGGCTGGGAACCCAAACTGCCCTTTATGTTCCATTTAGATGCTTCCGTGTGTCTCAAGCAGACCTGTCTCCTCCCTTGGCCTTTTCTGCCTCAGTCAGCAGCAGCTCTGTCCCCCTGGGTGTTCATGTGTAATAACTGTGCTTATGTGTCTGTTTGTGGAAAAAAAACAAAAACAAAAAAAATAATAAAAAAACCCTGCCATGCCTACCTCCAAGATGGGCTCCGGGCTGGTCTCACCATCCCTAAGGACTGTCCCCAGCCTGCCTTATCTACCTCATCCTCTCACCTGATGACATCGGTCCCCTACTCACAGGGCTCCCTGTTACCCTTGCTCTTCCTTAAGTCCTGCCCTGCCCTCCCACCGCCACCCCAGAGTAGCCAGAGTGAGCTCAGAGAGGTCAGCTGTGCTGCTCTGCTGAGCACCCCATGAAGTCTCATCACTTGCCTGTGCAGTGTGGTGCCTGTCTTTGCCATTCTAGAGTACCATCCCCCCTCCTATGTCAGCATGGCCAGCTCCTTGACTACCACCATTCATCATCAAAAGTTGCTTCCTCAGTAAACCAACTCTGCATCCTGCCCAGCATCTGAGAGCTCACACTCCTTGAAAATTCTGCATTTTCCAGGCCCTTCTCATTAACATCTCCATTCCACCTGTTGTTCTCCCTGAGCAGCAAGCTTGGCATCAGCTCCACTTCACAAATGAGGACACTGTGAGCTTAGAAAACGGAAAGCGAGATCAAATTCAGTTCTTTCAAGTTCATGACCTCTTACTTTTTATTTTGTTTTTCCAGACAGGGTTTCTCTGTGTAGCCCTGGCTGTCCTGGAACTCACTCTGTAGACCAGACTGGCCCCAAACTCAAAGAGATCCTCCTGCCTCTGCCTCCCGAGTCTGGGATTAAAGGTGTGCCACCACCACCTGGCAGACCTTTTTACTTTTCATCAGTAGTGCTCTGAGATGTGGCACCCATGGAAGCTGCTTTGGCCCTGTATTTTAGAGTGGTCCTTTCCTGGCTGCAGTCCTCACCAGGAGATAAGATTCAGGACACCTGGGATTCTGAATTGCCTTTCCTAGGTCGTGTCCCAGATGCCCAGGCCCCTGGAATGTTGTGCCCAACTGGTCCTGAGCTTACTGGCAGCACCAACACCAGTTTTGTCCTTGTCTGTCTTTGCCCTTGGCCTGGGCTTGAAGGATGCTCAAAGGGCGACTGCTTACAGGATGTGTGGGAAGACCCTGAACATGTGCCTGCGATAATTTTCACATGTAAGTGAGGCTCTTGGTAATACAAGATGAAGCTTCTATTCAGCTCTTACTTGAGATGCTTCCCAGTATAGTGACACAGATAAAGAATCCATTATGATTGGTGGATGTGATTGTCTATGTAGGACACCCCAAGGAATCTACAGAGAGGTTATTAGACTTAATAATAGTCCAGCAAATATGCTGGACATAAAAACTAGTAAATAAAAGTCAACTGCATTTCTTTTCTTCTCCCCCCAACACTGTGTGTGTGTGTGTGTGTGTGTGTGTGTGTGCGCGCGCATGCATGCATGCATGCATGCACATGTGTTTTCCATGGCACGCTTGTGGAGGTCAGAGGACACCTTGGATGTGGTTCTTCCTCCTTGTTTGAGGCAGGGTCTCTTTGCTGCTCACTGTTGTGCAGGTTAGCTAGCCTACAGGCTCTGCTGAGTTTCCTGTGTCTACCTCCCATCTCTCCACAGAAGCAATGGAAGTACAGGTGTGTGCTATCACTCCTGGCTTTATGTGGGTTCAAATCACATAAAGGCTATCACATGCCTGGAAGGTGCTTTACCCACTTAGCCATGTCCCTCGTCCCTCAGGTATAATCAGTACAGTTTATTCTTACAGAATATTTACATGGTGTTTGAGGATATTTACTTCATTAAAACTAAGAATTACTGCTCATCCATAGATACAAGGAAGAAAAAAAAAACAGGCTATAGAAAAAATCCTTTCTTTCTTATATTTTTTGGGTTTTGTTTTGTTTTTCATTTTTTGGAACAGGATTTCTCTATGTAGCCCTGGCTGTCCTGGAACTTGTTTTGTAGAACAGGCTGGCCTTGAACTCAGAGTTCCATCTGCCTCTGCCTCCTAAGAGCTTGGTTAAAGCACCACTACCTGGCTAATTATTTCTAACACATATATCTGAGAAATGATTAGCTCAGAGAATATATGAAGTATGTCTATAACTCAGGAAAAGAAAGGAGTTCCCCTCAGAACAAAACCTTAAAGTAATAGAAAAATTGGTAGAAAGCATTTAACATAGACCTAAGTAGGGATTAGGGATATTCCATAAACGTGTGAAAAGATATTCACCTTAATTAGTAATGGAGACATGCATGCTAAAATAACAAGATCCCCTTTTTTGGATTACTAGAATCACATAAAATATTAGGAAGTTAAACAAGGGTTAGTGAGGATGGGGCAATAGGGACCCTTATGCGTCACCAGTAGGAATATATAAACCAATATGATCACATTTCTCAGTAATTTTACTTCTGGCTGTGTGTCCTGGAAAATCTCTGCAGATATGTGTGAATCTAAGAATGGTTATGGTGATGTTTCTAATAGCAAATAATCACTTACCACATGTCCCTCAAATCTAAAATGGCTATATAATGTGTGTGTTCCCAGATTGGAATGCCATCCTGCAATGAAACGGACCGTTATGTGTGTCAAGATGCATGACTTACAAAGCATGAAGCTGAACAGAAGACACTAGCAACAGAGCAGACTATTATTTCATTTGTCTAAGACAGGAAAATATCTTATACAAAATACCATACGCAGAAGTGTGTGTATAGGGTTACATAGATGTGTGGTAAAATTATACAGGTTAAGACCCAAGATGGGCTGGCAGAGGGAGGGGCGGGGGTGGAGTGGGTTGAGAGGAGAGCAACGCAGAAGCCCTGGAACTGGCTGATCCTGGGTGTCTGGGTGCACAGGTCTTTATGTAATAGTAACTCATTAATGATTACATATATGTGGTTGGTCTTATATATATGCATAGGAAGCAATAAAAATGGTCAGTGTGGAAAAAGGGGGGCTGTCATGTCATGAATATCATCGGCTGGACCAATGTAAGCAAAAACAGCAGGCAGGTTCTAAGGAAGGTTATTTGTGACTTAGGGTAAAATGTCCAGTGTCTCCAACATACAAGGGTTCAGTGAAGGTGGTGCCCTTTTGAAACTGTTAGACTCAAAAGGGGGTTCTGGTGAAGACGATCCCAACTGCAGGAGAATACAAGAAAAACACCGTTTAAAGTAAATCTTCTTATGGAATTACAGCAAAAAAAAAAAAAAAAAAAGTACTTTAAAAATTAGCATTAGGGGCGGGGTTGGTGCCCCTTAGGGGGTCCCTTCTCTGAGGAGAGGCGGTAGTGAGGGAGGGGGCCTGAGGGCAGGACTGGGAGGAGAGGGGCGAGGGGGCTGGGATCAGGCTGTAAAGTGATTTGAGGAAAGCATAATAAAAGGGGGAAATTCACACATAAAAAAATCAGCGATACGTGTCACTTTGTCTACATGTGTCAGGTTAATCTATAATTAAACAGTGCATACTGACATTTATTTTGCCTACATTTATAAAACTCCATGGATAGACTAGCTGTCGCTACAAAAGAACAAAACAACAACAACAAAAAAACCTTCCCAATCGTTGATATCGTGTGGTTCTGTGTAGCACATGCCTTTAATGTATATGTCAGGGTGGGAACGGTTTTTTTTATTATTATTATTATTATTTTTTACCTGGAATGAATTTTTGCCATTTCTGATCCAGATTGTACTTCACACAGTGATTTCCTGAAGGAAATATAACGATTTGTTCATCGAAGAAGAAAACATTGTTGGCCACGTGAGACCGAAAACCAAAAACATTCAGCGACTGAGCTATCACGTTGGACATGGTACCTGTGAGAGTGCAGCTGAGGATGGAGCAGCAAGCAGGTGAGAATGAGGACGTTGACCGCGTCGCCCCGCCCAAGGCCCCGCCCCGCCCGTGGCCCCTCCCTGACCCCGCCTCACTCCTTCGTTGCCCCGCCCCCAGACTCCTCTTCTTGGCCCCATCCCCGCGGCTCCTTCCGCGCTTTGTCCTCCTTCCCTGCACTCCCAACGCCCCCAGGCCCCTAAGAGAAACCCCTCACCTCTCGCTTCGCAGGTATGGGTTACTAGAACACGCAAGGATCCTCAGGTGCTCTGCCCCTAGAGATCCGGAGCAACCCCGGCACGCCCGAACGCCAGAGCAGTTCCTATAGCAACGAGGAACCGGAAGTGTCGCTCTGCACCCGGAAGCGGAAGTCTGTGTCGACAAGCTGGAGCAGGGGGGAAAAGTTACAGGCGCTGGTGCAGCTTGTGGGCACGTGTAGCGGTGGCCGAACCTCGCGGGTCCGGAGGACGCGAGATGGACACCCCTCCGCTCTCAGGCTCGGACTCGGAGTCGGACGAGTCCCTGGTGTCAGACCGGGAGGTAAGCGGCAGCGAAGCTTCTGGGACAGGGGTTGGGACGGGGTCTCTAGCTCATCCGTAATGCCGCGCCCGGGTCTGTAGTTGCAGGATGCGTTTTCCCGCGGACTCCTGAAGCCAGGTCTCAACGTTGTGCTAGAGAGGCCGAAGAAGGCGGTGAATGACGTGGTGAGCTCGCGCGCGGGTCGGGGTCCTTGGAATGCGCTGGGCACATTCTGAGGCTATTTCTGAGCCCGATTCTTGTGGGAAAGATGCAACCCTGCGCCTTGACACAGGCGGTCGGCTTTCTCTGTGGGCTTGAGAGAGACAAACTTTGGGTTCTCATGGGCGCCGTGTCTGACTTACCTAGAATGGCCTGAAGCAGTGCTTGGCTGAATTCAAACGGGATCTGGAGTGGGTTGAAAGGCTGGATGTGACCCTGGGTCCAGTGCCGGAAGTCGGTGAAACTCAGTCAACACCCCAGAACAAGGACCAGAAGAAAGGTGTTAATCCAGAAGACGACTTCCAGAGGGAAATGAGTTTGTATGTTTGTTGTGGGTCCTGCGATAGAAAGTCACAGGAAGGAGAACGTAGTGTGCCAGCATCCTCAGAGGCTCCTCGGAGTTAGCGCGAGCCTAAGAGTGGAGCTAGGGGCTTCCTCCTGGTTGAAAGACCAGATCCTTGGTCATCATTTAACCAGCTCCCGGCTTGAGGGATATTTCAAAATAATTCATTTGAAGTTTGTGTGGGTGCATCATTAGAACAGACTTTGCAGAATGTGAGAGTGGATTTTCTGTAATGATTGGGAAAGTACTTTGGGTGCTAATGGTACCTTTAATAAGCTCAATAATTGTTTTAAACTGCTGATTTGCTCTTAGAAGTATTTTCTCCTTAAAAATAAACGTAAAGTGAAGTTTCTGTTATATATGAAATTAGTGGAGTTCTGTTGCAATTTTTGTTTGTTTACTTGTCTTGCCAGTGATGGTGGGATGTTGCTAGTCCTGAGTTTATTTAACTTCTGAGAGGCAGTAGGAGAAAATGAATACTTTTCTCCTCATTCCTGTGATTTCAGCTACCGTCAGGCCCAGGCTGCAGTGCTTGCTGTGTTACCCCGACTCCATCGGCTTCAAGTCCCCACAAAGCGGCCCACCGATTATTTTGCAGAAATGGCCAAGTCTGATCAGCAGATGCAAAAGGTAAGAGGCAGGCAAGTTTTTCCACCGGAAAGCCAAGGCTTTACCCTCAAGTATGTTTGTTCAGCTGGTTCATTTCTTGTAGTCTTTTAGAAAAGATTTGTGCTGGTTGTAATTAGTATTTTTCTACAGAGTCTGCTTCAGAGGCATGCCAGTAGCCTAGATAAAATAGTGAGAGAAGGGCTGGAAGAAGTGTGGTCCCTGTAATAGGAAGGCTTGTATATTTCCTCTCTGGCAGGGTTAGTTGAATGGGGTAGAGACAACAGTCGTTCTGGGCCCAACAATACCAATGAAAATTCTGTTGCTTGTATACAGGCTTTTCCTCTCTGGGTCTCTGTTTTCTATAAAGTGAAGGGTTGATATCTGGCTCGGATATAGTGTAATTTAGAGTTACAGGGACTTGATCTTCATTTAACTTCAGGAGGAAAAAGCTTTTTGACATCATATCCAGGACATGTTTAAATTGGTCCTTTGGTCTCAGACTTCATCTTAGAGAATTACAGATGGTACCCAAGAAGCTAATCAGAGACAAGCACAGATACCTTTGATAGGCACACTGATGACGATTTACGCTTTCAGTAAACTGTATGTGTGTGATGGAAGAGGCAAGGTCTGAGTGTCCAGGAGTTTTATCACATATGTGGCCCACTGGAAAAGAGCACTGAAGTTTAGCATTAATCTGTAAATAGGACTAGGCAGGAAACAGGTCTTATATGATAACTGAACAAGCATGCTTGAAAAGGCAGGGCAACTTTTAAACTCTGGCTACACACTGACACTTTTCGTACCTGGATAAAGGCTCAGCTCTGGGGCTGTATTGTCCTTTTGTAGAAAACTAGAGAGTATATGAGTTCCATGATTTTCAGAGCTCTGTTCTAGTGTACTCTAAACAGCACCTACCAACGTCCTGTGTTTTAGATTCGACTGAAGCTGCAGACTAAACAGGCTGCCATGGAGAAATCTGAAAAGGCCAAGCAACTTCGAGCGCTTAGGAAATATGGAAAGAAGGTGAGAAAGAACACCATGGACTAGGACAAAGGCAGGAATACCAGGTCAGATCACTGTGGTATGATTTGGTTCTAGCCCTATGTGTGTTTGGTCTTGTGGGTCTCACCTCTTGGTGAAGTGTTCATTCAGCCCCGTGAAACACCGTGGGGCACCCAACATGGTGTGGTAGCAGCAGCTGAGGTGGCATCATGGAGTCTTCATAGTCATGGTTTGGAATGTGTGACTGACTTTGTGTGTCTCACAGGTACAAACTGAGGTCCTTCAGAAGAGGCAGCGGGAGAAAGCACATATGATGAATGCCATCAAGAAGTACCAGAAAGGTCAGTGTGTCTGTTTGCTAAGGGCATAGGGAAGCCTGGGTATCAGTGCCTTATAACTAAGGGAACCCTATAGTGCTTTGCAGTCATTTTGATTTTAATCTGCTGGGCTTAGGTTTGGGAAATGGTGTGGGGAACAAGATGTCCTGCTTAAAATGGATTTAGAGAAAAGCAGCCATGTCTTGAACATTCCTAGAAATACAGTGGTGCTGATGGAAACACTTCTCCCTGCACAGGCTTCTCTGATAAGCTGGATTTCCTTGAGGGCGACCAGAAGCCTGTTGAACGCCGTGCAAAGCCAGGAGCTAAAGGCCAGCAGACGAATAAAGGGTAAGTGAGGGTTTTGGTTTAGTTTTGTCTTGTGATGGCCAACAGTCAGTCTGGTGAGGGAGCTCCCCAGGGAACGCCTCCAGTATAAAGTACTGGTGCTCAAGGGGCAGAGATTGAATTCCGTGGGGTGACCCCTGGCCATAGCAGTGTTCAGAGGTGGACAGTGGTGCTTGGGTCACTGTAAATGAGTGTCAAATGACTGTTTTACTCCATGACCTTCAGAGTGATTGTGGGGAGTCCAGCTCTGGGCGTCAGATCTAGGTCTAGCTATTCATTAGGTGGGAGGCTTCGAGCTTCATTTACTGCGAGGCAGTGGTTTGTGCCTCAGTGTTGTGAAGAATGAAAGGGAGCTGCGTGCTCACTGTTCCTCTTTTTCAGTCTCACTTTCTGCATAGGTGGACGCTGGCCTGAGGGTGGTGATTTCCACATATATCAGGGCGTTAGTGTGGAAAAGCTCTTTAAAGTCCCAGGGCAGGCTGGGCATGGCACCCTGGTGGACCATCCCACCAGAGCCTAATGTGAGGGGCATGAACGTCTGAGCAGGAAAGAGGGAGAGGAGTGTTTAGAGAAGGAAGACCCTGTGTGAGAGAGGCGCCGGCGTGAGATAGTGGTTGTAGGTGAGCAGCTTCCTGTGCTTGCCTTCACAATCACCGCTGTGAGGCTGGGAGTCAGGGAGCCTTCTGTGGACATTAGGGACGGACACTGGTTTCACTCAGTTATGAGCAGGCCATGTTCCTGTTCCGAGAAGGTAACAGAGCCCTGTGTGTAAACAAATGTAGTCTCCACTTCCACAGAAGCCCCAGGGAGCAAGGGCAGTGCCTCACAAGTGTGTGCACAGGGAAGAAAAGTGAGGTGAGGGCTGACTGAGACGGCAGAGAAGCAGGGAGAGGTTGGTGCTGGGCTGATGGTAGGAGGCCATTTGTATACCAATTGTAAGTTGGCATTTCTAAGCAACTGGAACCAGTCCAGGAAGGGTGGTGGCATGGTTTGGTAAGTCTTTACATTTGAATGACAACTGTGGTTTTGTCCTTAAGAAGAATAGAGACGACTAAAGCTGACGCAGCAGGATTGAGTTAAAGTGGATGCTGGTGGGAGCGGGAAGCCAGGGGGTGGTTATCGGTTCTTTCTGCTTTTTCTTTGTGAGTTTTTCTTCTCTGGAGTTATTTCATGAATAGATGACTTTGCCTATGGGGTTTGTAGAGTTAAAATGGAGGGCCAAGGACAGTCCTGCAGTGTTTCCTCAGAAACAAGCCTGCGGGTGTCACCCAGCCACGGGCTCATAGGTTTACAGTGCACTAATCTGTGAGGTCACTTTTTCCAGGCCCAATGCCAAGCGAAGGTACAAAAACCAGAAATTTGGTTTTGGTGGAAAGAAGAAAGGCTCCAAATGGAACACTCGAGAGAGCTATGATGATGTCTCCAGCTTCCGAGCCAAGGTGGCTCATGGCAAGGGTCCCAGGAGGCCTGGGAAGAAAGGGGCAAATGTAAGTGGAGGGTCCAGGTTGGGGCCTGTTCAGTCTCTGCTCAACCCCATTCCTACTCCCCTTGGTTCCTTCTCACCCTGGCACAGAAGACCAAGTGCTATGTGGCGACATACGATTTTTGTTTTGTCTTTGCAGAAGAGACCTGGAAAACGAACAAGACAGAAAATGAAGAGCAAAACCCACTGAACAGTATCGTCGTCTGTAGAGAACCAAGGAAAAGGGGGATGTACAGACTGTAACACATTCAGAGCTTTTTGTAGAGAATTATTTTAATAAATTAAATTTAGAAATGAAAGATACTCTGGAATCAAACACAGAAATGTTTTAAAAGATTGAGAAGTTTGTACATGAAAGAATATTGCCTTTCTTTTGGTAGCTGCAGGTTGAACCTACACCTCACTTTTTAGCTCATCCTTCCAAACTGTCCTTTCACATGAATCCCTGAACTGTCACAGTCAGTCCCTGGGAAGGTAAATTGTGATCAGAATGCTGCTTTCCTTTTTTTTTTTTTTTTTTTTTTTTTGTCCTTAGTTTTCTAGATGCACTGTCATGTTTTCCACCTTAAGAGTTTTCCTGTGATAGCCCAGGTCTGTCATAGCTTGTTTCTTGGTCTCTGCTTTAAGCCATCTGTATTGGCCACATTATTCTCTCTCTTTTTTTTTTTTCTTTATGACTTTTCTTATGTTCCATTGTTTAGTATCTTTTTAAGAAAGAAAACAGGTAAACTTTACACCTCCCATTTCTGAAACAGCCTTCAATTTGACTGTTAAGACTTGTTGCTTAAGATGGTGAGTGTTAGGGTGTATTTTAAAATGCCATATACAACAGATCTGATATGAGAGATTTATTGGATGGAGGTGGAGAGATGGTGGGAGGTCCCCAGGATTGAAACCGAGGCAGAAAGAGTACAAGAGGATTGAGAGAGCGTGGGGAAATGTCAGACGGGTTGTATCTGAAGCACCTGGCCCAGGTGATGACAGGAAGTAGGTGGTGAATAGGACTATGTCAGGACCCTCAAAGGCACCTGAGGCAGGCCAGTTGAATTGCCTGCACAACAGAACAGTGAGGGCCCCACTCCTTTGTGGAGCCTCCTGTTACCTGAGGAATGGGGCTGCTTTCTCCCATCCTTCTCAAAGCTCTTCTGACGGGAAGCCTATGGTGCCCTGCTTTCTGGGTCCATGTTTATTTGATTAGGCTTTTAAAGAAAATTGTTATTTTTGTTGTTTGTTTTTTGATTGTTTGTGTAGCCTTAGCTGTCCTGGATCTCCGTAGACCACCCTGTTCTCAAACTCAACAGACTTCCACCTGCCTCTGCCTCCCGGGTGCTGGGTTTAAGGGCGTGCACCACCACACCTGGCAGATTTCAGGCTTTTCTATTTTGGAAAATTCTTCCTGGTAACCTCTCCATCCTATTGTACCATCCCTGAGATATTTTATTATCCCTGTGCTTTTTCACAGTTACAGTATCCTAATGTTTCTGGGATAGGAATAGTAAGTTTTGAGAATATTTTCTTTTGTCCCCATTCATTTTGTTTGTAACTAAATTTTTTTTTTCCTTGGACATTTGGCTCCAATTTATATTCTGTTTTGAGATGTTCTCAAACTCTAGCCCAAGCTGGCCTCACACTGATCCTCCTCCCTCTGCCTCCCAAGTGCTGGGATCGTAGACTTGCACCATCATTCCTCACTGAAATGAAGTACTTTAGTTTTATGGCTGTGCTGTATGTGCATACAGTGTATTGATGAAATCAATATAATTAGTGTTTCTCATTCTCAGCGCTTTGTGTCCAGAACTTCCTACTTATTCCTAAAATAGCATATGCTACAGATTAGGTAGCCACCACTGTGCTGTAGACACTTGGCATTTACTGTTTTTATAGCTCTTTCTGCCCAGTCTCCCTTTCACATGTAAACCGTTTCCCACCTCACAGTTAAGGTAGAATTCTAATACAGTCCAAGCATTATATATCCAGTAATCTTTAAGCAGTCCCTTGTTTAGGATTATTCTGTTGGGACTGTGTAGTAATCTATGTTGCTCTATCAAAGTATCTGAGTTGAAGTACTTCATTAAGAAAGTTTATTTAGTTCAGCTTGAAGCCTGTAGGTCCAAGATAGTAGGTATAGCAGTGCTCAAACTGATGAGGGCAGCATGGCCCAGTGGCCTCATGATGGGAGGGCTGATAGGAAGACAGCCTTGGTCTGTAACTCCATTTTGTAAGAACTAGCTCTGTGACACAGGTACCAATGCCACCAATGTCATTGCTCCTAGGACTCATCTCACATGAGTCCTTGTGGGGCAGATGGTGTCCAGATACAGCTGCAGCTTTCTTTAGTTTCAGCTGGGCCTTGCTGGTCAACTCAGATGCTGAGGTGTTGTGAGGGACTGCGGGTGTGGCATGTAGCCCCTTTGTGTGCTGGGTCCGGTTGGGGGTTGGGCTGGTGCTATGAATTCAGTTGTTGAATACTGTCCACCAAAATCTGGTTACAGACTTAAAAAGAAAATTCTGATTTAATCATGAAAGGTAGACTAAGACTGCATCAATTGCCAGGAGTGGACCCAGCAGAAATTGTACTTATACTAATGCTGAGTTTATGTTATTATGGGCAATTGAAGAAGGTTGGCAAAGAGCTTGTAGCAACTATTTGGGAGAAATGAGCAACAAATATCTTAAAAACAAGCGTCTTCAGTTTATTAAAAAAAAAAAAAAAACAACAAAACTAATTGGATTCTCCCATGCATTATAAAAGGAATGCCAATTCCTGAAACACCTATATTCTACACTGATGCAAGTAAGTCAGAAATGGCAGACTATAAGTCAGACCAAATGAACAAAGTAATTAAAAGCCCATATACTTCAGTTAAAAAATCAGAGCTGGGGCTGGTGAGGTGGCTCAGCAGTTAAGAGCACTGTCTGTTCTTCTAGAGGTCCCAAGTTCAATTCCCAGCAGCCACATGGTGGTTCATAGCCATCTATAAAAAAGGGATCGATGCCCTCTTCTGGCCTGCAGGTGTACAATGCAGACATAAATGAATAAATAAAAATTTTTAAAAATCTAGAAACTTTGAATTTATTTCTGATAATTGACAAATTATTAGAAAATGTCTTAGAAGGCTCAAAATTTCATGAAAAACCATGCTAACAATAAAGGTTTAAAGAAAAAAAAATTCTATCACCTGCAACAAGCCAAGGAAATTATTTTTTTTAAATGTCCTACTTGTTCTTTGTATACCCAAACTCCATTGCCTGCTGGAACTAATTGTAGGAGTACCAAAAGAAATAAAAATCTGTCAGATAGATATATTTCATCTTGAACAATTGGAAAACTGAAGTTTGTACACTATACCATTAATACATATTTAGGACTTCAATGGGCAACTGTTTTGAGTTCTGAAAAGACTGATTTTGTAATTACACATTTACTGGAAGTAGTGCCTATTACTGGGACACCTGTACAAATTAAGACTGGCAATGCCCCAATATATGTCTCCAGTAAGATGAAGCAATTCTTTGCATATTATAAGGCACAGGTATACCACACCATCCTACAAAACAAAAAAGGTTTAATCACCCCTCAAAGAAATGCTTATAGAACAAGAAGAAAGAATAAAGACCCTCAGAGATAGACTGAATACTGCTCTGCTAACTTTAAATTTTTTGAATGTTAATGAGAAAGGAACAACAGCAGCCAAGAGACTCTAGGTAAACAAACAAACAAACAAAAACCATGAAATTAAATCAGTCTATATACTAGAACTATGTGTTAACATCAGAATGGAAACCCACAAAAGTTTTGTATTGGGAATCAAATTTGTTTATATTACATCCTCCTGTTTGGCATCCATGAGAAAGCAAGCTCCAGGAGCTGCATCTTAGCAAAGATCCCCATCTTAGGGCAGCATCCAGCTCACACTAAGTATTGGCCATCGGTTTCTTGAATGAAATTGAAGGTGTCACACAGAAAGCTGACACAGAAAAACTATCGTTTTTAGAGAAACGATACAGTTGCAATAAGCATAATCAATATATTTTAAAGTCAATATGATAAGGAGATATGAGATGTCCACTCGGCATGGCTTCCCATGTTCCCCCATATTGGAGTTGGGGTACTCTTCCTCAGTGGGATGAGGGCTTCCCACCTATGTCGGGGCTCCTCAAGATGCCTCTGTCTCTAACCACCCTTCCGGAGCCAGATGAGATAGATGCCTGTTAGCGTCCACAGCACCTGGATCTAATGTTTTGGAGAATATGATTTCTTAGATCGTCACCGATGTCACCTGGTGACATTGTTCCTGGTTTGTAACAAGCAGGCGAGGAGTGCTTCAGACTGTGTTGGACAAACAGTCTCTTATCTGCAGGGTCCAAAGGGGTCTGAAGCAAGGCTGGCCTGGCTGGGCCAGCCACACTGCTCCTTCCTGTCTCGTGGGCTGAGTGTGCCACAGGCATGTAGGAAGGTGCAGGATTCAACACATCTGTGTGTATTCTTTCCACACGGAGAGCCAGGGCTTTATTCCTGAAGAGAAAGGAGAAATGCTCTGTCAAATTGCTCGAACTCTCTAATATTTTTCTAAGTTGCCTGGTTGCTTAGCTTGGATGATTTCTATCCAGCTCCCACCCCAGGCACAAACCTCCTCTCTTTAAAACCCTTGTTAGTCACAAAGATTCCATCAACCAAACTCCACTCAGGCAGTCTTGAACTCTTTCAGCTAGGTCATTCTTTGGATTTTGGTGTTCATCGCTGCCATGTCTAGTACTGGCAAAAAATCTTGCTAAGTCATTTACTCCCCTCTCCCTGCTGTAAAACCTGGATTTACTCATCCTATGTCCATGAAGTAGCCTTATCTCAGAGCCTGTACCCAAAATGAGCTATGCAATGGATGAGAAGGCCAGATCCTAGGGCTTTCTGGCAATTGTGAGAACTGGAGAAACACAGCATTGTGGCTTGGGTTAGGACTTAACTTCCTGCCCTCTGGAAGACTTAGACGGTATCCATTCAGCACCCAGTGAGTGATACGTGGCTGATATAGTACTGGGCGTTAAGGGACAAAGTTAAGGAAACTTTCCGGACCCTGGAAGTCTAGAACAGCATTGTTCAGTACAGAGATTGTTAGGTATGTGTGACTACTTGAGTTTACATGACTAGGGTTAAACACTATTTTAAAAAAATGTTTGTGTGAATAATCAAATTTAAATGAGTAAGATTAAACACAATAAAAAAAGCACAGCACCTGGGTCTGGGGAAACAGCTCATCAGGCAAGGTGCTTGTTTTTCAAGCATGAGCACCTGAGTTTCGTCACCA